TGGTTTTTGAACCTGCCAGTTTGGCGAGTTTTTTATAGTTATTTTTATCTAGTAGTTCCTGCAATGATATTGATTTATGCTTGTCAGTGCAGGCAGAGAGTGCACTTGATCAAATGGATTGGATTGAAAAGATAACAGGGGTTATTGCTTCATTACTTAGCTCTCAAGCTCCTGAGAGGGTAATTGTGTTTTGAAAGTTTTACATGATTATGTGGCCATTGATTTTCTTAGTCTCATTGATGAGTTTGGTCCAATTGCATTTCAGTTTCTGCCTCCTAGTCCCATGGGAAGCCATCGTCATTCTGCCAGTGAGAGTAGTTCATTTGAGAGTTCTGATTTTGATCACACTGGAGTTGAAGAACTTGTGTCCGAGAGGAGCCTTACTTTTGCAAATTCTGAGCGCCCATTGAGAAGCTCACAACATCAAAGATCATCTTTAAAAACCGAAAAGACAATTGACATGCTACGACGAGTATGTGGGAATGATAAGTGTGCTGATTGTGGTGCCCCAGAGCCAGATTGGGCATCATTAAATCTTGGTGTTCTCGTTTGTATTGAGTGCTCCGGTGTTCATCGTAATCTTGGTGTACATATCTCAAAGGTTAATCACAATATTTTTCGTACTTAGCCGTTTCACATTTTATATCTGCGAGTTGTGCACTGTCTGAACAAGTGTTGTGTAACGCCCATCAAATAACTATTATATTTTTCATGTTCTTGGTTGCTCTACTTTTCTACACATACAATTTCAAGTATTTATCAAGTAGGGAATCTAAAGAACCTTACTTCATATGATTCCTAATTGCCTAATAGTAATGTGGTTTACTTTTCAATAATAGCAATAATGAAGTTTTGGATTTTCATTAACATGGAATGTGTAAACTGGCCAATGTGTTAAATCTTTTTCCAAGGTTTTTTTTTTTAATTTTTTTTAATTTTTAATTTTTAATGTTTTTTTTACAATGAATTGTGAGTGCAGTTACTGGAGAATTAAGGATTATACAAATGATAACTTGGTAAAGCAGTAAATATGCAGGAAATTACCAAATTTTGTTTTGGATTGTATATTTGTATATTGACAGTAACATTTTCGTAATAGTTCTTTTGTTTATATGTACTGATCCTATAAAAATTTAGTGTCTGTACCAGTTACTGAATTTCTGCAACTTTTCTTCTCGGTGTCTTTTATTGCAGGTAAGGTCTCTTACGCTGGATGTTAAAGTGTGGGAGCCTTCCGTTATAAATTTGTTTCAGTCTTTGGGTAATGCCTTTTCCAACTCAGTCTGGGAGGAACTTTTGCAATCAAGAACTGCCTTTCAGGTTGATCTTATATCCACAGGGTAGGGATTCTGTCACAACTCTTTCGTGTATTGTATTTATTTCTTCTCTACTGGACTGTTGCGAGATTTCAATTGTATTCTTCTGGTGAAGGTCATACAAGTCCGATAAAAAACAGCTAGTTTTTATCAGCAAACCCAGTCAGAGTGATTCTATACCAGTAAAGGAGAAATTCATTCATGCAAAGGTATGTCTTTTCATGCCTCACAGTTACTAGTTGGATGACCAGAAAGCATTTCAATATTTACATTCTAATTATCAAATTTTTGATTCTTACACTTGCTGTTTTGAGGGAGCAGCCTCTCCATAAATGGGGGTAAGGCTAGCTGACATTCACCTCTCCCAGACCCTGCGTAAAGCGGGAGCCTTGTGCACTGGGTACGAAAAACTCCCAGACCCTGCGTAAAGCGGGAGCCTTGTGCACTGGGTACGACCTTTTTTTACACTTGCTGTTTTGAAAATGGGTTTTGGTTGAATATTTCAATTCACTGAAATTGAAAAAGTAAACAATTGAATTGGATTCAGTTGGATGGTACCAACGAAATCGAGCTCTAAGGCCTATTTCTTATTGAATTAACCGATCAACTTAACTTGTTTTGTTGTCGAACGTTTATAAGATTGTAGTATTAAATTCGAAGTTGATAAGGAAGCAATAGTTTTAGAACATCAGCCCAATCTAAAGAACACATTTTCTAATACTAAAGACAAAAATGCAATTTTGTCTAGACTGTAGTTTGAGACTGTGAACCTTTATTGGCTTGTTGGAATACTTGTCGTCCTCTCTTATACTGATCATGGCTTATGGATCTTGCAATAACGGCTGTACATAGTGTATAACGGCATAACAGTATTGTTCCTGTATGACATGGATGAACCTTACTTGGGTTCATCTTAGTTTTTACAAGACTAATGATTTGGGGACTACCTTTTGTCAACTTATGATACATGACTATTCTTGAAGATCTCCTATTATATAGCGAACTGATCTCCTTACTACCTGCTACTAGCGGAAAATCTACAGACTGCTTCAGAAATGTGGACGTTAATGTGTATTCTTTTGTTAATCACAGTATGCAGAAAAGCTTTTTGTCCGGAAACCAAAAGATGCACAATATACTCATTTGGTAGCACAACAGATTTGGGAGGGTGTTCGTGCGAATGACAAAAAAGCTGTATATCGTCACATTGTTAATTCTGAGCCAGATTTGAATGCGGTGTATGAGCAAGCGTCATGTAACTCTTCATTAACCCTTGCCAAAGTAATGCTGATGCATGAGCAGACTAGCCATGACCAAGGCTCGAGCTGCTTAGCTGGGGATTCATTGGACAAGTCGTCACATAGCTCTTCAACCTTGAGTGGTACAAGTGAAGGCCAGCAAGTGGAGGATCTAGATGGGTGCACTCTTCTCCACCTTGCTTGTGAAACTGCAGACATTGGCATGCTTGAACTCCTCTTACAGTATGGAGTGAATATAAATGTGACTGATTCAAGAGGTCACACACCACTCGACCGTTGTATTCTGAGAGGCAAAAACACATTCGCAAAATTGCTTCTTACAAGGTGAATATCTCATGGTTGGATCTGCAGTTTTTTAAAACCCATGCATTACATTTTCCTAATCTGTGCATACATATTAAACTGTCTAGCTGTCAGCTTCTTTCTCAATGCTATGTTTCCACCTCTGTTTTCATGATTCGCTACTGAAGGGGGTTCTATTGCATCTGCAGGGGAGCTGATCCACGAGCATTAAATGGGGAAGGGAAAACCCCCCTCGAACTGGCAGTGGAGTCGAACTTTGATGATAGCGAGGTCCTTGCTATGTTATCGGACTCCAATGGATGAAACTCTCATATTAGCAACCAAACTAAACTATCCGAATGCAACTTCATAGGTGCTGGATGATGTTTATCCAAAGAGACAAAGGTATCACATTTGTGTAATATAGTCCGTAAATTTGAGAGCTTGTTATCCTCTGAATGAAATATCAGGAAGTGTTTTGTGGGTTTTGAGAGTGGTAGGGTGGTGCCTACCGATGGGGGGGGGGGTGCATTGTTGAACAATGTCGGCCAGGGTTGTAATGCCTCCGGTGGTCTTAGCCGAAAGCATGCGGTAGCTTTCAGCCAAGGGGCTCTGTAATGTGTTCTCTTTTGTTCATTCAGTTTTCTGCTTCCTTTCGGGGTGAAGCTGTTGTGAGGATTTAGTGTAGGCCATTGTGTATTTGTACATGATTTCTTGTAGTGGAAGCTTTTGGTGGCTCTAACTCTAAGAAGCTCAAAATTTCAACCTTATTATGTTATTCTAGGTTTAGGGTTTCCGAAACCGCAATAGAAAAGGTTGATGCTATATAATTTGATCCATGTGAGAGTGAAAAAACAAAGTTAGCGAAATGGAATGTCAAATGTGTAGTTGGGAGTGGCAGTGACATTTTGTGAAGGTGAATGGTGATGATGTTACGCTCAGTCAAATGTAGCAAGTAGGCCAACCCAAGACCGTACCATACCAAGAGTGAGTCTCCCTCCAAGTCAAAGTTAGGTAAACCATATATGTTATGTTTAGACGAATCCAGTATATTGTTGAATTTAAGGATACTGATTCCTGGCTCTGTTGCCTAATTTTTTCAACATTATTGGTACTTGAAAGGCATGTGTGTGGAATTATTCTTTTTATTTTTTTTTATTTTTAAAGGGACCTGGTGGTTTCGTCACGACAGTTCATTTTTTTAGAGTCAGCAAGACTCATAGAGGCATATCAATGTTCCTGTTCATCATCGTATGATTCACGAGCGTCAAGAATTAAATCTAGGACATGCTGTATGAAATACGGGTTTGAAATTCGTTTTCAACTAATGGGTCACATCATGATAATTCATGTGTGTGGCATTTGTTAATTTGATTTTTAATAATAATAATAATAATAATACTGTTGTTATGTTGGTGCAAGTTTTATAGCGATGAGTTCAATGTAATTTTAACTATGAGATCCTTTTTTTTTTCTTTCTATTTTATAATTGGTTTGTTTTGTTTTGTTTTTGTTTTTGTTTTTGTTTTCTTTCCTATTTGAGATGTTTGTCTATGAATCGAATAGAATAGTAAGACACTCACAGAAGAATGAGCTCCACTACGTAAACACAGTTCGATTCCACTTAAAATTACAATTCACGGAAGAGGATCTTCTCCTGAGCTCATGATGGGGATCCTCCTAAATCCTAAACCAGTCCATCTGGACCGTTCAAATTTAATCCAACAGCTGCAATTATTATAAGTTTTAGAAAACCCTCCTATTTGGAGCTATCAGATTAAATTTGAATAGCCTAGATGAACTGGTCAGGAGGATCTTCTTCCACAATTCACATGAGCCCATGGTGCGTTCCGTACTGATGATGCAATGCACTTGCAAAGAAACCGACACATTAACATTATATTATCAACATAAAACATCAATAATCTGTATTCTCTATATTATGAAAGTCCTATAGACTGGCTAGCCTAGTTCATATTTTATATCCAGTGATTGACGCCTTGATGGTGCCAACTCAACTGCCATGACATGAGAAATACTTCTTCGTTCGTTTGTGAACCAAAACATGATTAATTAAATAGATCCATTTCCATAATTATCCGAGTCTTATCTTTTTATGAAATTGGGTGTGGAAAAGCCCTTGATGGTTGATGTTGATGCTCATGTTGGGCCTGAAAAGGATGAGGCCCACACGTGCCCGCGTGTTGGTCTTTCGCGCGTCCCGAGACACACCCAATCATGGTTTTACAAACACAACTGTACTCGAAAGCGAAAACCGAGCCAACCAAAGATTATTCCCTTCATCCCCACACAAATTATTAATTAAATTATTGATTTAATAACAAACCCTAAAAGCAAAATAAGATAATCACTTTACTAATCACCATTCGTTAATCTGGAATCCCCGAAAGAGATTTCTATGAGAAGAAGGTGCTCATACGGTGTTTCAAACTCATTAATTATGTGACGCTTTGTAAAAAAATAAAACAAGAACAACACAATATATTCGTGACACATTTTTTTTTAGCTTTTTTCATGTCAAGTATTTCTTATAAGGAGGAGATATCGGAAATGATTTATTTGAAATCGAATTCAAGGAAATTATAATGTAAATAAGAATACCATGCGAAAAGAGATCTTTATATATCATTTTGTTATGAGGAATGACAAACACATGTTTTTTTTTATACCTTTCACATGCCGTTGTTTAATTATGTCAGCTAATTATGTTTAATTATTCAATAAAACTACAAAAAAAAGTGTGTGGAATATGAATATAATCTTGAGACGTCACAGTGATTATGAACCCGCTCCAACATAGTCACTCCACAATCCCCCATCCATTTATAATCGGAATAAATACCCGCTGTTGGTTGGTTCTCTATAGACGGCCAGAATCTCCTCCGTCAACAACCAACGGCGGAGATGCGTTTGGCGTTTGCTAGGCCTCGTCTCACACAGTTCGATGTTTCGCTTTCGGCCTCTCGTGATAGCAACACGGTGCCAACGTGGCGGGGTGGACCCCACCACGTACGGGGGTTAGTAGAGTCTCTCAAAGGCGGGAAGCCCAGTTTTGTCCTCCGCATCCGCATGAGAGAGAAAAAAAAAAAAAAAAAGCAAACAGTCACAGAAAGTGTCTCTCTCTCCTTCCCAAACCCAGAGAGAGAGAGAGTAATACAGAGTTTGAGAGAGAGAGGGAGGGATTTTTGTGCACTTGGGTAGTTTGTGAAGAGAAAGGGACTCGCTTTCTGTGTGAAACCGGCAAGTTTTGGAACTTGCTTTTTGTTTGGTTCGCCATTTTTGGCAAGCATTTTAACTCAGTAGTGGGTTTAAAGAGTGTAAAAACAAAGAGGGGTTTGAGTTGAAGAGAAAAAAAAGAAGCGACTTGGTGACGAAATGATTCGTTGCGTCCTTTCTCTGAAGATTTTCCCGTAAAAAAAATCGACTTTTATCTGATACTCTCTTTCTTCATGCCTCTTGGAGCTCTCTCCCATGGGGTTTCTTCTCACTTTCCGCAGAGCTCCGAGCGTTTCTGGGCGGCGTTGCGTTTTCTGCGCCTCCAAGCTGCACGGTGGCTGAAGCCGTCAGAAAACCAGAACAAAAATTTGAGCTTTTGAGGCCATAGCAGCTGCTGCTCTGAGTATTTTTGGTCGGATTCTGAAGAAAGATTGCAGCTTTGATGTTGGTTTTGGTAATTTGCGTCTGGGTTTTATAGGGGTTTAAGCTCTTGGGATTCCGTTGAATATTTCTGGGATTTTATGTGATTTTTTATTTTATTTTTAATTTCTACTGGAATGGATAGAAGAAGAAGTACCTCAGTAATGAACAGTCCAATCCCAAGGCTTCTCCTTTTGGTATTGGGTTTGTGCTGCCGGCCAGAGGCTGTGCGGTCCCAAGAAATCGAGCCTCCGTCGCCAGTGAAGCATCCCCACTCGAAGAACGAGCACCAAAGATTATTCTGAGCATTGTGTTGGGAGTCCTGACCGGAGTAATTTGTGCCATCCTCACTGCACTCTTAGTCCGGTGCTTTGTCCGCTACATCAGCAGAACACCAATTCTCAAGGGCCCCGTCATTTTCTCCCCGAAGATCGACCCCAAAACGCTCCAATTAGCACTGGCTAGCGAAAACCAGTTGCTGGGTTCTAGCCCCATTGGGAAGTACTGCAGGACTGTTTTGGACAATGGGCTGATTATTGCAGTCAAGCAGCTCGGACCCTTTTCGGAGTGTGGCTCGCCGGAGGCTCAGAGCAAGGCGGCGAAGCGGCGGATACAGCAGGAGCTTGAAGTGCTTGCTGGCCTAAGACACAGGCATTTGATGAGCCTGCGGGCTTATGTTCGCGAACACGATAGGTTCTCTTTGGTTTATGATTTTGTGCCGAATGGGAGCTTGGAGGATGCTATGAACAGAGTTAGAGAAACCGAGTTGCAGCTCAGTTGGGAAGTTCGGCTTCGGATTGCAGTCGGGGTGATTAAGGGACTTCAGTATCTGCATTCGTATGTTCCTCAGATTATGCACTACAATTTGAAGCCTACAAATGTTATGTTGGATTCGGAGTTTGAGCCGAGGTTGGGAGATTATGGGTTGGCGAAGCTTGCGCCTTATTTGGATGTAGCAACATCTGAATACAGCGCTCCAGAGTGTTTCCAGAACGGCAGGTATACATACGAGACTTTGGTAATATCCGAAATTCGTAATGTTTTTTGTTGTTGATATTTTTGTATGGCCCTTATTAATTTCCTTGCCTTCAGAATACTTATCAATAGTTCGGTATTCCACATGCCAAAGTGTTTTTAGATTAAGGGCAGGATTGGCTTAGGTTTGGTACCTCTTGATTAATGTTAGCCATTTAGGTGCTCTCTTTTAAATGGCTTGTTCTCCTGCACAAGGCCATGTTTACTCGGGGCTTACCCCCGATACCGCCTGGGGTTTGGGGGTGTGGGTGGGTTGTGAATTGGATTGCAATCCCACTCCTGCTTTTTTACGCCCCTGCGCTGGAGGAAAAAATGCTCCCGCCCAATACTCTTCTACTCAATGACTTGGGATTCAGATCATCTGTCTTTTGACGTAGCCGAAAATTACCTCTTGATGGTTTATTGATGTTTTACAGTGAAATGCTTGTTAGTTCAGATTCAAGGCTTTGTAGAACTTCAGAATATTGTTTGTTAGTTGTTTATTGATGTTTGCCTTAGATTTTGTGTAATGGGGTTTCATTAGTAGCAGTTTCGTTAGTAACTTACTGGCGTTGTTGTAGGCCAATTGAAACAGAAATTCCGCGTAGAAAGAAAACTTTAGCTATTGATAGGTGAAAGGAAAGAACAATTTAAACATGAGATCATTTCTTTGCTCTTGTTGAAAACATATCGCTCTTTTACTAAATGCAACATATTCAATTTCGACAGGTACACGGATAAGAGCGACATTTTCAGCTTTGGGATGATATTGGGCGTTTTATTAACCGGAAGAGACCCAACCGATCCCTTCTTTGGGGAAGCAGCTAGTGGCGGAAGTTTAGGGCGGTGGCTGCGGCACTTGCAGCAAGCAGGCGAGGCACGGGAAGCATTAGATAAGAGTATAATAGGTGAAGAAGTGGAGGAAGATGAGATGTTGATGGCAGTGCGAATCGCCGTTGTATGCCTATCAGATTTGCCAGCAGAGAGGCCCTCAAGCGATGAACTTGTTCACATGCTAACCCAACTGCACAGTTTTTGAATCAGATGTAAGTACTTTACTGAAGCTCCTATTTCTGTAGATTATTGGGAACTTTTAGACTTCAGAAATATTTGCTTCTGCAATCTGCACATTTCTCTTAGAATTGTATACTTTTACTGTTTTAATCGGTGGATAATCACTGTGGTGAAGAAGCTGGAAGTCAAGGAAATTTCTGACTTTGGACTAAAAGTAAGCAGATTAACAATGTGGGGGCACATATCAATTATTTTCGTTTTTCACCACCGAATGATGGTAGGGCTTTACTGGCTGTCTTTTCTGGACGACTTTTTCAAAAATCACGGGTCCTTTCAAACCTGAAGCAACTAGATAACTCTCATGTCCTTGTTCTGTAATGCTTGAATGCTTCAGTGTTCATTCAATCCGAGTCCTGTGGAGAAAAAACTTACATGAAACAGGATGACTCTCTCTCTCTCTCTCTCTCTCTCATCAACAAATTCTAGGGTAACTCATCACATGATGAGAGAGGTAGAGGGTGGGAATAATCCCCGTGATAGCTGAGTTTGGATCAATTCTCCGAGTATTAGAGTCTTTTGGTAATGGTGCTTGTGACGTGATGAGAGCGATAGAGAATATGGGGAAGTGTAAGGTGTAAGTGAAGAGAATAGAAGAGATGAAGTCCGTCCCTTAGCCTAAGTCTATATCTACAGCTGACGCAACTCTGTACCGACGCCTATTTCCCATTTTTTATGGGAGTACCATAGTCTTATGCTAATCCTGCTTATGACATTAACAATTCTCCATTATTTATTTATTTTTTCCCCTTCTTGATTGTGATCCGGATGGTTGTATTGTGGAAGATGTAAACCCCAGCGTTAATTTAGTTTGTCTTGCCCAATGTGTGTCACAAAAATGCATCCACATGTGATGTACAAAGGCTAGGAAGCAAGAAAAGAATGTAAAAAGCTTGTGGTGGGGATACTGAGAAACCCGGCAGGTCATGCATTTGGGGCCAAAATTAGCATGCTTGAAAGAAGGAAAAAAGCAAAGTGAATGCCAACCAAGCCTATGATTCCATTGCCATAATCCCATGTATTTGGTGGTCCACTTGACCACATATTCCTCTTAAACCTTATATAATGTATTTGAAATAACTAGACATGATTTATATAGGAACTTTCCAGAAGAAATCTGATGGGAAATCCTGCCGTGGTTCCCCCCACCAAAATCTTTACTCAAATGCAGCTTGGTGCGCAGTCATGGTGCTCTCTGATCAAAACCTCTGCCTTCATTCGCATGTATCTCAGCCGCACATCATTAATCCAATCCAACCACAGAATTTGGAACCCTTCAGTTATAAAGTATGTGAAATTGCCTAGGCCCATCTTCCGAAAGGATTCTTCGAATGATAGGCCAGCAAAAACCCATTCCTTCGGCTATGATTGTCGAACCAATGACTATAAGACCATCTCCAACCGATCCGGCCAGAGGGTTATAGGATCGAAAATAACCCGAAATGACAACAAAACTATCTCCAACCGAGGGCTAGGCCAAATGGCTCGTGGGCCCCACCGGGCCAAAAAAAGAGAAAAATGTCAACCGGCTCGCCCAACTCAGCCAACTAGCCAGCCTCTGGCCGGACCAAATTTTTGAAACCAACGGCTACTAGCCGTTATATTTGATTTTTTTTAAAAAAATTTAAAAATTCTATTGTTTTCCTATAACTTCCTAAGCCATTAAACAATATTAAATAAATTAAGTAACATGAAACAATATGAAACAATATTAAACAACATTAAACAATATTAAACAACATTAAATAACATTAAGTAACATTAAACAACATAAAAAAATTAACAACATTAAACTTAAACAACATTTTTAAAAACATTTAACAACATAAAACTTAAACGTATACTCCATGCTTCTTTTGGCCCAAAGATGTGCAACAAGATCGTGTTGTAGGTACTTATTTGTGGCACAAGAATGTATCATCCTATGACGCCTCATATACTCATTTAAAGAGATATTACCAGTTATTGGATTAAAAGGAAAATTAGGCCCATCATATGTTTTTGCACGAGCCCTTCTTGACCTATTGAGATTCCTTAGTGACAAGAAATCTGCAAAGTTACTCACACATCAACACTTGACACTTGAGATCAGAGATGTAAAATTATTGAGATTCCATCTCGAAAAATTATTGAGGTAATTTAATTTAAGTAACCAAAGTAATTCATTTAAAATAATAAATTATGTTTGGCCCTATGATCCTTTGGCCTCTTCAGTTGGAGATGGTTTTTTGTCATAAGGCTATGTTTGGCCTAAGGCCCTATGGACTCTCGGTTGGAGATGGTAAGAAAAATGGTCTAACACTGTTCATTAAAATATTAATTTATTGGAAGGTTATAGGATCAAAGAGAGCCATCTGGCCCTTATTCGATTGGAGATGGCCTAAGGTCTTGAGATGTGTGAACACTTCTGTTCGGCTAACCCCATATGAGGGATTTGGATCCTCTCCGGATCCCCTCCTTGGGGATCCCGGGGATCAAGGCACAAGGGCCGTTCATCAAAGATCATGCGGTCAATATTAAATATTTTTATATTTTTAAAAGTAAAACAATCTCGTTTTGCGTATAAAGTATTTAATTATGGCCGCATGATCTTTGATGAACGGTCATTGTGTCTTGATCCCCGAGATCCCCAGGGAAGGGATCCGGAGAGGATCCAAATCCTCATCTGAGGATGGGTTACTTTGGCCAAGGGAATTCGAAAAAGTATCCGTTCCGATGGTCTTCCTAATTACAGGCTTTATCCTTCCAAAAGTGGCTTTCGAATTTCGATCAGTCTGCTGACAAATAAAGGCGAACCATAGCAGTGGTGAATTTGAAGACCAATAAAGCTAAAGATATTCAAGTAGTTGATGGCTTTTGAATCCCCTCAGTATTTTTTCCGTTCGTAGAGACTTTATCTTACGTGATCAGCGCCCAATGCGAATTCCTGCTAATTAAGTAGCAAGTAAGAAGCAGCAACAAGAGCGGATTAGATGCCCAGCAACACATATTATAGTAGGAACTTCTAATATGCCTTGCAAATTACTGCAACTAAAAAACTTTGATTTAGTTGAATTAAATTCTACATTATGTTTTTCTGGACAAAATTGATATAAAAAAATCACGGGTCCTTTTCAAACCTCAAGTAATTGGACAATTCTCTACATGTTTGTTTGTTTTGGTCAGCATTTTGCGCAAGGTCTAAAGGGTAATTTGGGGGGGGGGTGTTCTCTCTTCATATTAACAATATAAGGTAATAACTTGTCTGTTGTCAGTTATCACGCTATAAGAGTTATATAGATAGTAGGGATGATCCTGTTGTTATGGATGAGTTTTGATCGATTCTATGAGTATCTCAATCTTTTGATGCGACCAAACAGCCTTATTGAAAATTTTCTCAAATCAAGGACTTAAAAGGATGCAATTTGGGAGCTTTTTGGGCCTTGGCTTCAATATGTCATTTTCATAAACATTATCCTTGGCCTTGCCTTAATTACGTACCTATAAATTGCCATTTCTCTCTCTCCCCACAATCACTAGAGCAGTTTCCGCGCCGCCATATTTTGGAAGCAAATCGGAAACATGGATTCCAGAAAGACTCCCAAATCACCCGATAATTGTAAGCTGGAAGAGAAATATGGGGACTTGGGAAATCGAAGCAAAAAAGCAACGTCAGTCTAGTACTACTACAACTACTACTTTCCCCGTAGAGATCTTATACGAAATCCTCCTGAGGTTGCCCTTAAAATACTTAATCACATGCTGCGGGGTCTGCAAATCATGGTGCTCTCTGATCAAAAGCTGTGTCTTCATTGCCATCCATCTCAGCCGCTCATCACCGATCCAATCCAACCACAAAACCCAAAACGATGGTTTTGATCAACTCCTTCTCATAAACAAGGGCCATAACTTCTACTCGTTGTATTATGGGGATAACCCTAACCCTAACCCTAAACCTGCATTTCAGTGCACTTGCACTTTGCTTAATGTACCACTGGTTGTGTAATTCGGAGTTCCTGCGCAAACGGTCGGAACTTGTAATGGGCTTACATGCCTTTCTTGGTACCCCCGTGGCCGCACAATAATTTGGAACCCTTCAGTTAGAAAGTATGTGGTTTTGCCTTGGCCTTGTATTACTAGTACTGCTGCGACCTTGTGGCCAAGGGGAAGGAGACGGCGACAAAAGTGTCCAAAGAAACTCATTACTGCTATGATACTCGGAATGATGACTATAAGGTATTGAGAATTGTGAATTAACTTTTGTAGTCACACTCACACCCCATTTGCGGTTGAGGTTTACTCTTTGGCCCGGGGCTCTTGGAAAAGCTTTAGTGCTGCTGTTCTTCCTGATTATGGGAAGCTTGGTGGGGTTTCTTCCAAAAGTGTTTTTGTGAATGGTACTCTGCATTGGGTTCAACTCCGTGACAAAGAAGAGCAAGAACATGGCCAAGAACATATCAATATTATGTCTTTTGATTTGAGCACTGAATTATTTGGCGAGATTATGATGCCGGAAGCTTTGGGAAAAAGAGGTTCGAACTGTGTCTTTTTGAAATACGGAGAGTCTCTTGCCTTGATTGAGATTGCTGAAAACTTATGGTGTGGCGGAATCGTGGACTGAATTCAACCTTAGTGTTTGTTGATTTAAAAGTCAGGACGAACTGGTGTTTGTTGATTCTATTAACTTGCGAATCATCGTAGCGGTGGATTTGAAGACCAACAAAGCTAAAGACATTGGAATGTATGGCAGCAGCATCCAGTTAAAGAGCCTTCCTTTTGTAGAGAGCCTTGTCTTACTTGACCACCGTAATGCAATTTCCTACTAATTAAGTAGCAAGCAAGAGACAACAGCAAGAGGTGTGATTTACAGATTTTTATTATTTCCTTCGTGTCAAGACTTAATAGAACCAATCATTAGTTACTTGTTAGATTTCTGGAGCTTATACTTTGAAGTAGTTAAATTAAATCCTCCATTATGCGCGCGGTATTATTTGAATGCTTCAAAAAATGGGTATGGCGAAGAATATTTCATTTTTTTTGCTTTGATTTGAGTACTGAATTATTTGGTGAGATGGATGCCAGAAGCTTTGAGAAGAAAATGTTTGAACTCTCTGGTTTTCAAATATGGGGAATCTCTTGCTTTGATTGAGATTGAAACAATAAAAATTCCTATGATGGGTCGTGAAAGAGTATGGTGTGGCAGAATGGTGGACTAAATGCGATAATCGTGTGCTCTTCATCTAGGTTGTCTTCTTGGTTTCAAAACCGTGATGAATTAGTGTTCACAATGCCTTATTTCGCTTCGCGACCAACCTTCCTAATAGTGGATTTTCCGACCAAACAAAGCTCAAAAAGTTTAAACGGTTTAATGGTACTCGGCAGTGAATCTGCATAGAGTGTTATCTTACATGGTCATCCTGATGCTGTTTCCTACTAATTACCTAGTTATCCTAAATGGATCCATTGGAAAAGTTATTGCTACTTACTAGTTAAGGACGTTGTCGAACAATCTATTCACACTGTTTCCTACGTAAGGACTTTGTCGAACAATCTATTCATATTCATGTTTTCGTTCCTAAGAGTGTGCAAGTTTCCTTAGCATTTCTCTTTTTAGAATCGCCACCCTTTGGCTGTTTGATTAATGGTTGTCTCCGTTTGTTCAATCATTTCGATCATTTGCAGTTTCAACATGGTAGTTAGCCAAACTGAGTCATCCTTTCGACCTAGGATGCAGCTGGTTTGAGCACCCTCCCCTTTTGTCCAGTCTGCCCTTATGAATGATCTTTCTGAGGTTTCTAGACAGAGAGCTATTTGTTTAGTCTTAGGTTTGTCTTTTGATTCGGGCTTGTATAGCCCCGTTGTATCACCAAGAAAACAAAAGTTCCATAAGGGAGGACATGTTAATCTCTTTTTCCTTTTTTTCATCGCCTACATGGTTGTTTGGGCCTCAACGCGGTATACATAGGGATAGCAACGAGGGGGGCGAGGCGGGAATTGGTGCCACATTCATCTCGGCCTCTGTTGGTGATTTTTCTCCATCCATTCATTGTTACTATCAGAAATTATTTAAAATTTAAAATTTAAAATTAAATATAAATAGTACCTAACGAAAACTAACCTTACTATGTACAATGAACGTATATGATTACAGAATCCTCCGGATCCCAAGAATCCGACAAGGATCATTTTCCCTGAAACGCATCCATAATCATTATTTATGAACGGGAATTCCCCATCTCCGCATCCACATGGGAAGAAACCTCTAAACCGCACCAGCCAACCCGCCAAACATAAAAAATTATCTCTAAACTATAACTATTCAAGAAAAGTTAATCAATAATCAACTAGTGTGGGTACCTATTAAAAGTAATAAAAAAGTAAATAACATTAAACATAATTCACACAACTGTAATAGCAACCTATAATCCTTTGAATGATCATCATTCCACCACGTCGAATGACTAATTGAACAAAAATAAATAAAAATTCAAGACACTAAAAATTATATTAATACAAATACATAATCGGGCCGGGTTCAAATTGAGGGATGCCAAACCATCACCATCAGAGGGGGCATTTGGGGGGGAGGGGGGAGGGGGGAGGGGGAAGGGGGGAGGAGGGGGGAGAGCGAAATAGGTAGTCGCATAGGGTCCCAAATTTGAAGGGATCTCCAAAAATTTTGTCATCTAATATTATGTAATGATGTTATATATTTAGAAAATTGTTTTTGTTAGTACTTTAAAATCTCATTGTGCATTCCTTATAATAGTAAATTTTTTTCGTTTCTAAATATGTGAACTAAATGATGAGTCACCAATAAGAAATAATCACGTTTATCAATACTTAAGTAATAATCCAATCATCAACTTACATGTAATTTAATTTACAAAATTTTGTTTACAAATTTAGTATCCTTAGCATCTCACTTCTATTGCAATGAGATATTCTGATTGTCAATAATAACACCAAAAAAAACATAGTTTTCCAATTTTATTATATAATAAGGTTATATAATCAAGTGAACTTTAAAGTTAGAGTTTTGAAGATTTTTTTCTTTCTTTCTTAATTTCATGTTTGGTTGTTTAAGATTGAATTGCTTTTGATTATCTAGTGAAAGTTATGTTTGTAGCTTTTTTACTTATAAATAATGACATTTGTAAATTGAGAATTGATGAGTGCTAAAGTTTACTTTGATTTAAGGGATTGTTTTCTAACATCAATACATTGTTTTACTTTTTTTAATACTATTTTAAGGAATGGGCCCTTTTACAAATTTCGCACAGGACCCCCTAAAATATCAGAAACGGCCTGATCATCACCCCATATCCAGCTCCATATAACCACCCATTACGGTCGGGTCTCGGCCAATATCGAAAGCCATGGAGTTTTTTGTCATCCCCATGGCAGTACCTTTCTTTGGTGGGTTCTATCTAATCCAATTACACCTAAAAAAATGTTAGGTGATTTTCAAACTCTCCTTTCGCTTTCTGCTTTGTTTTGATCTTAAAGAAGTATCAAGTGAGTAATAAATATGATGTGCCAAAAAGAGAGAAAAAAAAAAAGTTGCATAAATTAATTCCCTATGGAGAAGAAATGAGGAAGAAAAGTCCAATTTCATGGGTATCTCTCAACGTTTAATGGTTCACCAAGAAGTTACGACCTTATCTTTTCTCAAAAAATCTTTGCCACCTTATCCAATATCCATCCAAGTCATGTCCCAAAGCTGATGCTATATAGTTTGGCTGGAACTTTGCCCCTCTTTAGACTCAGCAGATTAAACCCCAACTTCTAAATTACAAGCCATCAAAATGCAGGCCACTCTACGTCTCTCACCAATTTCATCAGTATCACCTCTTGCTTTTGTAACCACCAAGTCCCTGGCCTTGCCATGCAGCTCCCTTCCGAGGCCACTACAACCCTCAAGGTGCCCTCCCCTCAGGGTAACCAATGTGACAGGGGGCGATCCTTCATCTGTCGATTACAGCTCCATCACTTCGTAAGTCAATTCGTTTTTTCTCAATCTGTCTTGGTCTTAATTTTCCGATTGATTGTTTCAAACGTTGATTGTGGATTCTGCAGTGTTTTCCCGGCAGAGGCTTGCGAAACAGTCGGAGGAGAAGCTTGTGATGCCGAAATGTATCCCGAAGTGAAGCTTAAACCGGAAGAGGGCAGGAGCAGCACAGCCAGGACTGTTTCTGAGCAACTGGATAGAGATTATCTAGAGTATGATAGTCCCAAGACGTAAGATCGACCGATTTTAGTAAAACTCATCTTCAAATGGTTTAAGATCTCGAATTTCGTGTTATGGTTAACTGGTTAATTATCTTCATGATTGCTGCAGGGTCTTTCCTGGGGAGGCTTGTGATGATCTGGGAGGAGAATTCTGTGAGCCAGAGTATCAGAGAGGGGTAAACTAGGCCCCTCCATGAGCGTCTCTTCTCAGTTTTTACTGCTGACTGTAATATTCTATGAATAATTACTACTTGGAAGAGTAGTTGGCATGGTTCTTGAATATTTATGTACATGAAACAGTAATAAACCCGGTACAAACTAATAGCTCCATACTTTTGTTGTTAAATTTTTGAAAAATTCCGACTCTCCGAAACCGTATAAATTGATGAATCAGTATGTTCTCTATATATTTGAACTAACAAAAGATGCACCTAAACTGCTTCTGGAAACTTGAAAAACTGATCGGATCATGTTTCAGAGAAAGCACGTCACAGAGAACCCAAGGGTTTTTACAGAACTCTCAATGTCAGCAAAAGTAATGAAGGTGAAGCTGATATTAACTCTGACATAATGCAGGGATCAAAAGTCATGGAGCCTGGATCAATTTCGAGCCTGAATTCGATACACCTACGATTCACTTGCTTCAGTGATCTCCTCTAGCAAAAGATTCTGGAGAGCTACGGAGTACTTAGCACTCTTGCTTCCCCCTGAATTGCTATGGTCTTTAACAATAAACGATCCAGAGCCATCACCTTCAAGTTCAACGTACCAAAACCGCTTATAATACGGAATATTCTACATAAATTTATAATGTATAACCACCCCTATTGCTAAACTAAACCAACCTCGAATTGTAAAAATGGTCGAAATCCATCTTTTGTATATGAAGAGCAACCGCGGGGAGTCTCCATGGTGCGTATCCGATAACACAAGCTTGCAAGGCCTTGTTTCGCTAACATAAAAAATCAAAGGAAAACTAATGAAAGGGGCTTGAAAACTTTGAGTTTTAATGATAATGACAAAATAAAAGATAAAGTGAATAGTACCATGATTGACTTTTGAGTGTAAAAATATAGTTTTTCGTTAAAGTGAACAGTACCGATGCTTTTCGTTAAAGTTTCCAAAAATCAAACCATAAGAGAAAGATAAGTCACTAACTGTAATCACAATAGTCACTCACTTGGCATGGATCATGGCATTGTGACACAAAGCCAGTGTCCGAACTATTGCCAAGTCTCTTCCTCGTGGGTTTCCGTATCTTTCTTGGCAGCTCCTTCAAATTGCAAGGAGAAAAGAATTAATCTTTGTAAATTGTTGAAAGTCCATGAAAAAAGAAGAAAGGAAGCACCTTGTATCAAAGAAATCTCCAAAATCATCGATGACAACCGTGGCCGGAAATGTTTCGTGCAGATGAAATGCAGCAAAGTACTTCTTAATTCCTTCCTCATCGTCCACATACCTACACAAATCACAACCTCAAGAACCCCATTTTTTGCATCACCATTGTTCATTCCTTAAAGGGTCAATCGACTTACTTCATTCGTATTCGTCGAAATGCTTCGGAGGATGAATCAACGCCCTGTACAGTTTTAACCAAAATTAATAACTTAGGAAGTTGAGGTCTACCCCACAACCAATTGGCGGGGAATGAGCCAACTCCTTATAAAAAAAAATGAGAAGAGGAAAGGTACCTGGGAAAGATAGGGCGGTTTGACCTCTAACCTGCGGCGGTTGCAGATGAAAGTTACTTGACCATTTGTGCATTGATGGGCGACCTCCATGGCGGAGTTGAATGCAAACTGGAATAGTAAGGAGGTCTTTCCGCTGCCAAAAAAAGAGAGCACTAAGCAATCGCAGAGAGAGAGAGAGAGAGGGAGAGAGTTTGAATTATGAAAAGTACCAGGAAGGAGGGCCAGAGAGAAGTAGAATAGGGTGGCATTGGTGGTTTTGTTGGAGGTCCATTTGCCGCACGGAGAAAAATCTCCGCACCATGGTCGAGAGCTGCTGAAAGCTGAGGGCTCAAGGGTGGAGGTGCGTCGTCAGCCGTCTGATGGAAATTCATTACATTGGTTCAAATCACAATGCCGGGGCCTAACAAAAACTCTTCTTTAATTTTACGGGCCTAGTAACCAGCCCATCATCGTAGTTTTTTTCCCTTATTTTTTTTTGTTAGAAGCTTTTCTCCGATTCGATTCTCATTAAATACGAATTAGAATTACATTATTGTTATGAGACTTAACTCAGCTCAACTCCTTATTGTAAATAATATTGTTTGTTTAAAAATAAAATAATGAACAACACAGTTTAAAAATAAACCAATCCATGCACAAATTATGTCAAAAACATTTATAAAATATTATGCAGGACACCCTTTTAAAAGATTGTATGCATTTTATTTTTTCTAATAAAAATCACTATCGTTTGACTTTTTATTTATTTAAGACAACAATATATTTATATTGGTGTATCATATCTTGTGACATTTAATGTATACAACTAACATCCAATAAGATAAATTCATTAATTAATGTGACATACGCATATAATTCATGAAAACCCTAAACACCAAACCCTTGTTATACATTCACGAAAACCCTACCTGTAAATTGCCAAAATTTCTCCCTGCACCCTTTCAACGCGAATAAGAACCACCAACTCTCTTGCACCGCCGCCATCTCTTGGAAACAGTCGAAACATGGATTTCTGAAAATCAAAGGAAAAAAGCAATGTCAATCAACTGCTTTCCTGAAGAAATCGTAGCAGATATCTTGGTGAGGTTGCCCTTCAAGTCTGTAATCAAAGTTAGAAGAGTGTGCAAGACGTGGAACTCTGTGATCAAAAGTTGCACCTTCATTGACACCTATCTCAGGCGGTCCTTATCGATACAATCCGAACACGAAAACAATAGCGATGGTCGACATCATCTTCTTCTACGAAAGAAGAATGGATGGTATGGTAATAGTTACTACTCGTATTATGGGAACATCCTTAGTTCTCCATCTGGTTACGCCGAGCTTATCAAACCAGCAATTCCAGACGTAATAAAACGTTGTTTTAGTCACTTGTCAATGGTCGGAACTTGTAACGGGATTATATGCCTTGCTCATGACGGACTGTTGCAGGACGAAGATGCCCCCACAATCATTTGGAACCCTTCAGTCAGAAAGTATGTGATTTTGCCTAGCCCTAATATTAAGAAGAACAACTTTAAGGATACACAAACCTATTTCTTTGGCTATGATTCACTGATCAATGACTACAAGGTCTTGAGGATTGTTACTGTGAGGAATTCTTTGTTGGGGGTTGAGGTTTACTCCTTGGCTAATGGATGTTGGACAAGTCTTAGTGCTGCTGCAACTGCTGTTTTTCCTGCTTATTTGTGCTCAGGGTTCTTGAGGAAGTCGAAAGATGCATTTTTTAAGGGTGCTATGCATTGGGTTCTACCCCGTGACAGAAATTCCAAAGAACATCTCATTGTGTCGTTTGATTTCGGCACTGAACTCTTCCACGAGATCGTGATGCCCGAAGGTTTTAGAAAAACAGGTTGCCCATGTTACATTTTAAGATATGGAGAGTCTCTTGCCTTGGTTCAGATTGACAACGGAGGAGAACATTTTGTGTATGGGCTTCATTTGTGGGTCATGAAAGAATATGGTGCGGTGAAATCGTGGACGAAACTAGATAACAATAATGTACTCTTCAAGGGGTATCGTCCCACTAGCCCTCTTGGTTTCAATAGCTGTGATGAACTAGTGATGAAAATATTGGTGGATGGCGATAGGCGGGCAATAGTGGTGGATTTCAAGACCGGAAATAAAAATGCTGCAACTGCTCTAGATGGCTACTCATCAATGAATCCTTTTGTAGAGAGTCTCATCTTACTTAGCCAGCCCAATGCTGTTTCCTACTAATCGATTGGCCAGCAACATGGATAAAGTATCAGCAGGGCAAAGAGCAACATGTTACAAATGTTTCCTTTCTCCTTTTATTTTCCAAGTTTCATGCTCTTCTTCCCAACTTACATTTTGCTAGTTCGAATTGAATGTTATACGAATTCCTTACTTGTTCCCATTCCTAAGCTAACCGTTTCTTAACATCTCCATTATACGTGCTCTAAACGCATCGAAGTAATCCCTGAGACGCGGAGCTTTGTCCCCGACTGTTAGGAATTCTTAGGCTCCCCACTGCACGTAAGGACTAAGGATTAAAATTTCTCCTTAAATCACTATTTTTTGTGCAGACGGAGTGTCCATCTGACCATTTCGTAACGCAAGAATTCCAAGCTCATGTTTGAATTCGGTTAAAGCTGATGACTTCACTTTGACAAAGTATATGTATCCATATAGCGTTGCTCCTTCAGTCCTTTGTTGAAATGTGAAGGTCTATGGGTGTCGAATTCGAACTTGGTACTTCTTCCAACATTGAAAAGATCAACCAATAATTAGTTGATCAACTTTTCAGCCTTGTACCCCCAACCCCAACACGTAGTCTGGTAGCTTATTCGGCCTTGGCCTCCATGATCCGTCTAATTTGCATATACCATAATTTAGGTGGTGCCAGCGTTTTATTCTTCCTCGTTACTCACGCAAATAGTCACCCACCCTCGTTACCCTACCTATAAATTTTCATAGTTTCCCTCCACGTTCCAACAGAGAAGACTGGGAAAATTGATAAGTAAAAATTAAAAAGGCAACGTCAATCGACTACCTTGCTGAAGAAATCATAGCATAAATCTTGCTGAGGTTGCCCGTCATATTTGGCGAATGTAAAAATAGCAAAAGAAACATAATATTTCAAGGAATTCGGATGCAGATGACTCGTAAGTTTGCAACTACTGTATTTAAGAGTATGAGCTCAAGTCAGCTAAGAAGAAAATTGTGTTCAGAAGATAAGACTGCCTCATAATCATCATGTTTCTACTGGTAATAGCGAGGCCGACCCATTTCCAAATCCAAATTCTGGTACTAGCTCAGACAGGTCGCCGCTCTCAAAAAAGGCATGGTGAAGGGCCTTGACGCATTTTTCAGCCTCACTATCATTTACTATCAATGAGATGTTTACCTGATTTATAGCAAATCAAATATTAGAAGCACAAAAAAAGAACGAGTGAAATCTTATTTATTCAGGACAAGAGACCTTGGATGCCCCTTGCGAGATCATTTGAACATTGACTTGGTTGGTTCGAAGAACATGGAATGCCTGTGAGAACGGAAGTCCACGAGTTAAGAAAGAAGAGAAAAATAATACACTACTGAAAGAAGACATCAATTACTGGAACGTTGCAGAGAGAAATACGACACCTTTTCTAGTATCAGTGAAGAATACTGAACATTCCCTATGAGCGAGATGATTGATCTGTGCTGCAGAAGATTCACGAATGCAATTTTTTCGAGTTCTTCTTCCATGTGGTCAAGTTCCTGTTACGTATGGCACCATTTCATATGCATTTAGAAAACTAGAAAGAACACTTGGGGGTTGGAACTTGAAACAAGGGAATAAAAAAAAATGGTTTTTCAATTTTGTACATCTGAAAATCATACAAGGGTACTTGCATTAAGTATGGGGACATGTTTGGGGACTATTTCTGACTTTTAGTCCCATGCCATTAAGCTGGATCCCCATCAGTCAAATTGTCATCCCCTACCCAAAAAGTTTTGAGTTCCAGACAAATCTTTCAACTCGAGATGTATCAGAATTGATTCTTAACAAACATGAAACTTGAGGCCAACAATGCATATCTATTTTCTATGTATTTTGCATGAATATCTATTTTCTATGTATTTTGCATGCACATCTTTATGTATTTCCCATCGTGGATAATTACAATAGGATGCATCTTCTCCAGAGGTACCTTAGAAATCATGCACAGCTTTGAAAACATTACAACTAAGCACACACGACAAGTAAATCCTTGACAAATGATATAAAATTTATATGCTTACCTGCTGAATTAGTTCCCTACTCCAAAATTTTGATGGATCCAATGTCAAAGATAAACTAACTTCACTTGTTGCAACAACATCCACAGATATGCCCAAATCTTCGAAGGTTGAGAACACCTATTTGGATGATGAACCCCAATGGAGGAGGGAAATCATGCCAGTTACGATTGGAAATTTCAAAACCCAAAACCAATAAGGGCAACAAGTAGAAAACAAAACCAAGGAAACAAAGATTCACTCACCTTTGCAAGGAAACCAACTTGCCCAAGCATGCGTGTACTGACAATATCCAACAGGGTGACATTTTGCTTCAGAACTATGCTAGTTAGAACAGCCTAAAGTTCATTTGAACGGATAAGTTGGGGAAATAAATAAAAGAGCAAGAATGTTCAAATCCTTACACATGCTTCACTTCTCAAGTAAAAGAAAGGATTAAGCTGCCCAAACCTTGCTCATATCTCTTGTTTTAGTGATGAGGGTACCAGGAGCTTTGGGATTATAGGAGTTCTTGACCCTAACAGGTATTTCACCATCTCTAGCTGGTCTCATGGATTGAGGATGTAGAACCTGCACAGTTGTCATTGTGATTATATTTCTTTTTCTACTACTCATTCTAAATGGCAAGCTCTCATGTGGACTCTTATCTACGTTTCACCATACAAATCAGAAGATTAATGCTTTGTCTCTCTAATTACAATATACACATGAAACAAATGAACCGACCATGACAGATGCCATCCTAATCATCTCAATGAAAGATGCTCATGCAAAAATAAGCTGTAGTCTGCAAACTTAGTCTAGAGAACTTCATGGATGGGATCCCAAAGTCCATTTGATAACCTTTCATTAGGTTAACTCTTTGTGCCATAGTTTCTCTCATAAACAGAGACTGCAGATATAATATCAAGACTAATATTTCAACTAACTGATTGAGTCCATTTAATTAGAAATACAAAATGACATCTAAACTGAAAGAACAAACAGAATCTAACCTGAGCACCAAAATATGCAAGCTCAGCTGCCTCATCGAAAGTCAAAAAAGGAACAGGTTCTGCAACAGGACATATACTAGGATCGCAGGTCAAAACACCATCAACATCCTTCCACACCTGCTAAAAATGTCAAATTAGCTTCTGTATAGCTTTTCCAATAATTGAAAGGTAAAAATATTAGCATAAGTTCTAATTAAAAAAAGAAATGAACAAAGTCTCAAATAAATGGCCGTAATATTAGCTAGATCCATAAAGTAACAGACAACAATCAGCATAATTGTGGTGAATGCATGCATGATAGGTGCATATCTGCAGATGACTTCTGGTGGTACGTGCATTCAGAGCCAAATCTCACCTGAACTTCTCGCAGGCCTAGGGCTTTGCCTATTGTTGTGGCTGTCAAATCACTACCACCCCTGCCCAGGGTAGTGACTGCACAAGTTTTCCAGCCCTACAACCAGTAAAACATATGTGATGTTGAAAGCCCAGCTAATAAAGTTAATTTCCTGAGAAACAGATACTTTCAAGCATGCACATGAGCACGAATTGCATTGGGCAGCTAGCCAGGAGAAAGACCTTTCCGAGAAAGCCAGTAACAACAGGAATTGCAGGATCACTTATCCAATCGTCATATAAACGCTTAGCGACAGATGGGTAAGTTGCCTCTAAGATGTCAGCATTGGTGAAGTCATCTGTTGTTATGAAACCAATGTCAAATGCATCATACTGCAATACATTAAGCAGCAAGCATCACAAAAAAGGAAGCTTTAGTGGCTTCTACTAAAAGAAAACGAACATAATCAAAATGCAATCGAGGGTTTGGAAAAGAAAAAAAGAAACAATGTGAGAAACATATTTTCTAAAGACAGGGTATACATACTTGGCGCGCCTTAACACCAATGCTATTTAGATAAGCTGCAAAGATTCTTGTAGACATGCACTCTCCAAATGAAACTAGATAGTCTCTTGTTCGGAGAGTCAACTCTTTCATCATAGCTATTCCCTTCAGCAGTTGCTCTAGTTCTTCCAAGACTACTGCAAAATATGCAAAACAAAGAAAAGCAAATACCCGAAATTCCAATTAACCTCTGATCCTTCACATCATTATCAAAATTTCAAAACTTGACCACACCGAAACAGAAAAGTTTGCATATTTTTTTCATCCCTTCAATAATTAAATTCATTACCCGAAATAACGGAGGCATCGATTCCAAGTTCATGGACAGTCCTGAGCAAATGCAACCACACAGTTTTTAACACCAGTTCCAAAGTCGCAATTAAAAAGAAAATAAGAACAAAAAGAAAACTATGAGCTAACCTGAGATGGAGTTGTTTTACAAAGCTCAATTCTTTGATTTCGGACGCATTCGAAACCCCGCAGCTAACGGCCTTCTCCCCAGCCTAAATGCATGATACAAATCATAGCATTCAACCTCATCATTCTTTACCGATTAAATCAGAGCATTAAAGAAACTAATTCGATATTTATGAAAAGTGCATTACAAGTAAGAGGTTATTAGTGGTCTTCCCCATGGCAGAGAGCACGATGATAGGCTTTTCATCGGGAAAGCTGACAACGAGCTGAGCAATCTCTCTCACCCTCTCCGCCGACGCCAGCGACGATCCCCCGAACTTCATCACGCACGTAAACGGCACCGCATCGGACCCACGGCTCTCTGTCGCATTCTCTTCCTCCTCTTCTTCTCCAAGCACAGCTTCGATTCTTCTCTTCTCGCTCTTAGCTCTCAGCCTACTCCTTCTGCATGCATTTTCCACCGCCGCGTAGAGTGATCGCGACGGCGACAACGCGGAGGAGACCTGGGACAAGTGCATGAGTCTCGGAGTTCGCGAGTAGCAGGGGATTCTAACCCCGCGGAAATGCAACGAAGCCTCCATTTGCTTTGCTTACCCAAGTTGCTTCGACGAATTATCAAATTTTAGGGTTTCGATTTTGCTGGATTTTCTCGGCAACCAAACAAAAGGCGCGACTGAATATTTTATTGGCGGTGCATACACCCCCTTTTTTTTCGAAGCCAGAATTAACGGAGATTTTCTGTGAAAAGTAAAAAGCACCTGTGCCACCTATTTTATTCGCCGATACGGTGTCGTTTCGCTAACATCTTATAGAAAATTAAAGTTTTCGTGGCATTTTTCAACTGTTTTTCTTTCCTAATTTTCCTGCGAATCAAAAGCTTAAATTTGAATGTCGTCTTCCTTCACAGTCCAACGTTCTCTGCCAACTTTGCTCAAATTCCGTCGTGGCTTTCCCTGAAATCCACCGCTACGTCGATCGATACCTGCCAAATCGAACTGGGTCAGGTCGAAAATGTGCACCTGGTCTCTCTATCCAAGCAAGGGAAGCTCAGAGGAGCGCGCCACTTTCTCGAGCAGATGAACGACGCGGGTGTATCCGTCAGTCCTCACTCGTATAAATGTTTTGTTTGAAATGTGTGGATTGATGGGTTCGTTGTCGGATGGAAAATCTGTGTGAAGAACCCACCTGAGTTTCTTGAGAACGATGCTCTGCAAATGTATTGTGATTGCGGAGTTTATCGGTTGCACAGGATGAGATGCTTCAAAGGAATTTGGTTTCTTGGGTTATAGTTATATCGCGTATGCGCAGAAGGGTGTTTTGAACAGAGCTATGTCGATGTTTTCGAAAACGATACAATCTGAGATAATGATTAGACCGAACGCATCGAATTTTAATGGCATCTTAAGTTCCTTGACTGAGGAATCACTTTTGGAGCTTGGGAGACAGATACATTCTTATGTGATAAGAAGTGAAATGAGTAGTAATGTTTCGGTTGAAACGGCGATTGCAAACATGTATGTGAAGTGTGGGTGGTTAGAGGGTGCTAGGATTGTTTTCGATAGGATGGAAGAAAGGAATGCTGTGGTTTGGACTGGGTTGATGGTGGGCTATACTGAAGACGAAAAATTAGAGGAGATTTTGGAATTGTTTGCTGAGATGGTTAAGAAAAGTGTAGAGGTGGATGATTTCGTTTTTTCATAGTTCTCAAGGCATGTGCTGGTTTGGAGGACTTGAATATGGGAAGGCAAGTTCGTAGTTACAGTGTTAAACTTGGGCTGGATTCCGAGGTTTCTGTAGGAACTCCTCTAGTGGACTTCTATGTCAAATGTTCAAAATTTGAGTCTGCTTGTCGAGCATTCAAAAGGATTCATGACCCAATTGATGTTTCATGGAGTGCTATAATCTCTGGTTATTACCTAAAATTCATTTGTACATACAAGCATTCTTCAAGCCTGCTCTGCAATCGCGGGTATAAATTTGGGGACTCAAGTTCATGCTAGGATGGGCAAATACCCATTGGTTATGGGTAACCGCGGTCACCCGCTCATTTAAATTAAACTGTTACGGTTACGGGTAATCGTTTAAATAAATAAACGGTTATGGGTATACCTGTTTACCTGCGAAATTTAAATAGGCGGTTATGAGTATTAACCGCGGTTATAAACAGGTAACCGTTTACCCATTTATTTTATATATGTAAAACTAACATAAACCATGTTCTCGATCCAATAATACTTAGCACCCAATAAATTAGCAAGGAATTTATCGGTCTTTCTCTCAATAGCACTGCTACAGGAATGATGATTCTCATCATTAAGGAATTGGCCAAATTAATTTAAATTCTTTTGCGGTTAACCGTGAAATTGACAAAAATGTTTTGACAGAAATGTCTTCTAAACAATTTTTGTAACCCAATAATACTTGGCAAATATTATATTTACCTTCATTGGTAATAGTTAAAAATATCGTCCGTAAACTATTATTTCACTTATTGGAACGGTATAAGGACTTAAAAAATTAAAATATAGAAATGTATGATGAATGTACCTATAACGTTGTTTAATTGTCAAAAACAAAAAAAAAATATGACAATTTTTTTTTTAATTTTCAAGTTGTTAAAAAACATGTAGAAGGGTGAAAAAGAGGTAATGGTAAAAAAAGAAGATAAATGGGTTAAAAATGATAAATGGGTAAACGAGTATTAAACGGTTACGGTTAAATGGGTATGCAGTTATGGGTATGGTCAACCATTTATAAACAGTTATGGGTATGGGTATAACCATTTAGGCAATTACCCAACGGGTAAACGGTTATACTGGTATGAGCATAAACGGTTATGGGTAAATAATCGCGATTACCCGTCCGCCATAACCGTTGCCCATCCCTAGTTCATGCTGATGCAATAAAAAGAGGGCTCGTTGCACTCTTGCATGGTGCGAGTGCATTGATTACGATGTACTCAAAATGTGGCAGATTGGACTGTGCCAATCGAGCATTTGAATCGATAGATAAACCTGATTCTGCGGCCTGGACTGCCATAATATGTGGTTATGCTTATCACGGCAATGTCTTTGAAGCTCTTACGCTTTTCAAAATAATGCAGAATTCAGGTGTAAAGCCAAATTCAATAACATTTATAGCAGTTTTAGCTGCTTGCAGCCATTCGAGTTTGGTCACAGAGGGAAAGCAGTATCTGGAATCAATGAGTAAAGGAGGACCAACCATTGATCATTACGATTGTATGATTGACGTATACTCTCGTGTTGGGCAACTACAGAAGGCACTTAATTTAATTTACAGTATGCCGTTTGAACCCGATGCAATGAGCTGGAAAAGTTTATTGGGTGGATGCTGGATGCATTGAAATCTTGAGCTCAGAAAGTTAGCAGCCGAGAGCCTCCTCCAATTGGACCCGGAGGACACTGCTAGTTACATAATTATGTTCAATTTGTATGCATCATCTGAGAAGTAGGAAGAAGCTGTATTTTATAGAAGAATGATGCCTGAAAGGAACTTGAGGAAAGAAATCGGATGCAGCTGGATTACCGTCAAGGGCAAAAAGCATCGGTTTATAGTGGGCGATCAACACCATTCTCACATAGAACATATATACTCGAAACTGAAGGAGCTGAGCATTTTTTTCAGGGATGCTGAAGATTTGTTTCTTACCGAGGAGGACGCATTGAACGGTTTTCCCGAAAGGAAAGAACAGCTTCTTCACCACAATGAGAGACTTACCATAGCATTTGGGCTTATTTCCACACCAGGTGATGCCCCTATTGTGGTTTTTAAGAACATCAGGGCGTGCAATGATTGCCATGAGTTCGCAAAACATGTTTATGTGGTAACGGGGCGTGCAATTGTTGTGAGAGATGTTGAAAGTACAACACCAGCCCAATAATTAAGGTCCAGCCCATTTGGAATCATGAATGAGAATATGCTAGAAAACTCTAGCAAAGTGCATCAATTGGTGTTTGGATGGAAAAGTTGAAGTCCACCGTCTTAGGCTAGAAAAGCCTAGAACCATCACAAACCTTGGCTAAAATTGGAAGAGCCCAATCTCATCGACCAGGTGAGTCGGTTTAACAAAAGCGGTGGAAAATGTGTGTGCATGATCAATGCACTAGAAAATTCTAGTGATAGTATAAGTTGGCAAGTATGCCCTATAAATATGGGTGTTGCTATGTAACCAATCAACCAATCAAGCAAGTAACCAACCAACCAAGTGAGAGTGAGAACTAAGAGTAGTCTTGTGAGAAGTGTGAATGGTTTAGAGTTTGTCTCTAGAAAGTGAGTGAGTGTCATTGCTTCTAAAGTGTCTTTTAGAGTTTTGAGTGTTGAAATATTTTGTGTGTAATACAAGTAATTTGTTTACTTATGTTGTCTCTCCAACATTTGTGTTAGAGTTATGTATTATAAAATTTTCCTCAACAATTGGTATCAGAGCGGTACGATCAGGGACCTTCTCTAGTGAAGCTTTTAAGAATCGTGAGAAGTTTAGTACTTCGCAAGATTATTCGTTAATCTTGTTCGGCTTATTGAAGTTCTGCTGACACGATGGGAGATCTTCAAGTTGTTGGAGGAATCAAGAAGTTGAACAACAAAAATTACAACACATGGGCGACGTGTATGGAGTCTTACCTACAAGGCCAAGATCTTGGGGATGTCGTCGACGGTAATGAAGTTACGCAGCCGGAAGAAGACACCAGTGGCATTTTGAGGAAGTGGAAGATCAAGGCAGGTAAGGCCATGTTTGCCTTCAAAACCACAGTTGAAGATGACATGTTAGAGCACATACGGAAGGCCAAGACACCAAAAGAAGCATAGGATACCTTCGCCACACTCTTTTCAAAGAGGAATGATGCAAGACTCCAGCTTCTCAAGAACGAGTTGTTATCGATGGCCCAACGAGACATGACAATTGCCGAATATTTCCACAAGGTAAAGTCCATTTGCTATGAAATTTCTGAGTTAGATCCTAGTGCTGCCATTATAGAATCCAGGATAAAAAGAATAATTATCCATGGATTGAGACTCAAATATCGAGGCTTCGTTGCCGCTATACAATGATGGCCGACCTAACTATCACTTGTTGAGTTTGAGAATTTGCTTGCCGATCAAGAATCATTGGCAAAGAAAATGGGAGGGGTCTTGTTAAGAGGTGAGGATGAAGTGCTCTACACTAAAAATAAAGGCAGCTTTAAGCAGCGTGCTGATGGTGCATCTAAAAGAAATGGTGATAAGGAAAAAGGTCGTCAAGGAAAAAGAAGTTCTCGGCCAGGGGGAGTTCCGAAGTATCATGGCAACCGTGGTCAGTCCCAGAATAATAAAATGTATGAGGGCAAATGCTACAATTGTGGAAAGAAGGGCCACATGGCGAAGGATTGCTGGTTCAAAGGCTTGCAGAAAGTAACGTTGCCAACTCAGAGAAGAAAAGTGAAGATGATTGGGACGTTGTTGCGTCTCTAGCCCTGGATGAAGAATGGGATGCAAAAGCATCATTTTGTTGGTGCTCAGAAAATGAGGTGTTGCCTAATTCGAAAGATATTGAAGATACGTTGCAAGGGAAACTGGGAAACCAAGCTGCCCAAATCCAATCAAGTCCAAATAAGTCTAAAGATTTGCTTGCTGGATACGATGTCGAGCAAGAAGTACCCAAGAGTCCTTGGCAAACTGGTGTGTATCAACAACCAGAAGAAGTTAGACCTAGTGAAGTGGAAGAATCAACTCCAAAATCACAACTAAGGAGGTCAACAAGAGTACAAAAGCCAAATCCTAAATATGTTAATGCTGCTATAGTTGATGGAGCAGTAAAAGAACCTGAGACGTTTGAAGATGCATCATAGAGTTCTGAATGGATATGAGCTATGGAAGAAGAAATCAATACGTTTAAGTAGAATCAGACTTGGGATTTGGTGCCAAAGCTAAGGAATGTGAAACCCATATCTTGTAAATGGGTGTACAAGGTAAAACGTCGTCCTGCTGGTTCAGTTGAAAGGTACAAGGCTCGGTTGGTGGCTCGAGGCTTCTCTCAATAGTATGGACTAGACTATGATGAAACGTTTAGTCCAGTAGCAAAGCTTACGACTGTACGAGTCCTACTTGCACTTATAGCTAACAAAGATTGGAATTTGTACCAGATGGATGTGAAAAATGCTTTCTTGCATGGAGAGTTAGATCGGGAGATCTACATGATGCAGCCAATGGGCTTTAAAAGCGAAGCTCATCCTGAGTACGTGTGCAAGTTAAGGAAAGCACTCTACGGTTTGAAACAAGCACCAAGAGTGTGGTACGATAAGATTGCAGAGTTTCTCACACAAAGTGGTTACTCAGCGGCACATGCAGATTCCAACTTGTTCATTAAAGCTAATAGAGGAAAGTTAGCTATCGTACTAGTGTACATGGATGACCTAATCATCATAGGCGATGATGAGGCAGAAATTCGTTGAACAAAGGAGAATTTGTCAGTTCGGTTCAAGATGAAAGAACTTAGACAATTCAAGCACTTTCTTGGATTAGAGGTTGATCGCACACAAGAAAGGATAATTTTGTGTCAGCAAAAGTATGCAAAAGACTTGTTGCAGAAGTTTGGGATGCTTGAATGTAAGCCAATCTCAACACCGGTGGAACTTAATGCCAAAATGTGTGCACATGAAGGCAAAGACTTGGAAGATGCAACAATGTATCGACAATTGGTAGGTAGTCTGATTTACTTGACTTTGACTCGACCTGACATTTCTTATGCAGTTGGTGTGATGAGTCGGTACATGCAAAATCCAAATAAGCCTTATCTAGAAGCAGTTCGACGAATATTGAGATATGTAAAAAGTACAATTGACTATGGTCTTTTGTACAAGAAATGTGAAGACGGTAAGTTGGTTGGCTATTGTGACGCAAATTTTGCAAGAGATCATGACACCAGGAGATCAACCACTGGGTATGGTTTCAAAATTGGTTCTGGAGTAGTTTCGTGGTGTAGCAAGAGACAACCAACAATGTCTCTGTTAACTACAGAAGTAGAGTATAGAGCAACAGCAATGACAACACAAGAGAATGCATGGTTGGTACAGTTGATGAGTGATCTACATCAACCAGTAAATTATGCAGTACCATTGTACTGTGATAACCAATCAGCAATTCACTTGGCGGAAAATCTAGTCTTTCATGCGAGAACTAAGCATGTGGAGGTACATTACCATTTCATTAGAAAGAAGGTCTTGCAAGAAGAGATTGAGATGAGACCGATCAATACAGATGATCAAATTGCAGACTTGTTCACAAAAGGTTTGAGTACCGGCAAGTTCAAAAAGTTTCGTCATCAACTCAACATGGAGGAAAGAATAAGCTGGTGTTGAGGGGGAGTGTTAAAAGTACAACACCAACCCAATAATTAAGGTCCAGCCCATTTGGAATCATGAATGAGAATATGCTAGAAAACTCTAGCAAAGTGCAGTAATTGGTGTTTGGATGGAAAAGCCGAAGTCCACCGCCTTAGGCTAGAAAAGCCTAGAACCATAACAAAACCTTGGCTAAAATTGGAAGAGCCCAATCTCACCGACTAGGTGAGTCGGTTTAACAAAAGCGGTGGAAAATGTGTGTGCATGATCAATGCACTAGAAAATTCTAGTGATAGTATAAGTCAGCAAGTATGCCCTATAAATATGGGTGTTGCTATGTAACCAATCAAACAAGTAACCAACCAACTAAGTGAGAGTGAGAATTAAGAGTAGTCTTATGAGAAGTGTGAGTGGTTTAGAGTTTGTCTCTAGAAAGTGAGTGAGTGTCATTGCTTCTAAAGTGTCTTTGAGAGTTTTGAGTGTTGTAATATTTTGTGTGTGTAATACAAGTAATTTGTTTACTTGTGTTGTCTATCCAACACTTGTGTTAGAGTTATGTACTCTAAATTTTTCCTCAACAAGAGATTCAAACAGATTCTATCACTTCAAGATTGGGGAGTGTTCTTGCAGAGATTATTGGTAACCTAAGCAGTTTCAATTGTAGATTTGGGCATGACATTTGCGGGATGGATGCTTTGAAAAAACAGTCTCATGGTCATTAATTGATATCAGAGAGAAACGTACCTACACCTGAAATGTCATAGTAACATTATCTCAAGTTAAGATATGAGAGAGAAACATACATACACCCAAAATGTCATAGTAACATTATCTCAAGTTAAGAACATGACCTCATGAGAAAGTTAAACAACATCATCATCATATAGGTAAGCCATTCTCAGGGTTTAGGGCGGGGCACATGGTTTGCCTTGGCTCAAGCATGGGCTCATGGAAGCTTAGGCCGCTAGTGGGAGAAAGCCTAGTGTCATATTGGTGTATACATCCGTGTGTTCAATGGGGTGCATTTAATTTAAACCTTGATACAAAAGGCAATATCATTTGTGATGTGATTCTTGATTGAAGCTTATAGATTAATTTACAATTTTGGATGTGGAGACTTAAATACGGGTTGTTGATATCGATTTTTAAGTTGTCTGTGTGAGTTGTACCGTTTTAATTTTGCTTCATCAAATTGTTACTTTTACACTCTTACTAAAATTTGTGTTGAACACATCATCAATGTACTATAGAAGTTTTAAACAAATATTATAGTTTAATCTACAATATCATGTTGCATTCAATACAACGTTAAAATACATTCTTGAAAATTAACAAAACGGATGATAAACTTCTATTACCTTTCGTAGTACCATTGCATGTTAGTGCACGCGTGCCCGTTTGTCGGAAGGATTGGTTATACGTGTCTCTTGAAGATTGTTGTATCAATAGAAGCACTAGTCACCTTCTCAAGTGCACACATAATACAAAGGATCATTGCAGTTGGTAGTTAATAGTAGTTAACTCTTCTCTTACAATTATTTACTGCAACTCATGCTCCTCTGTGTCTTTCCTTTGTGTGTGTTCAGTTCATTGACCCGTCTTTCAATGAGAATCACAACATTTTCTTCCTTTTTTAGTGGGTCCAAAACCATCGCCACCATGCAAGAAGAGAACCGAAACTCCGTAAAAGCTAATTCTTTTTCCTTCATTGTCCTATTTTTGTAAGTTTCAATAACAAATTATAAGAATTCAACAGAGATTTGTGTGCGCATGATATCCATTGTTTGGTGAAAATATGGGAATGTGAGGATGAAGTTTCACATTGGTGAGTGATCAAATTATGTAAGGGGGCTTATAAGAGGTTGTGTTCTTCACTATATTGTCAATAAATTTTACAGTAGAACCTCATCTTTCTTTAGCAAGAATATAAGAAGAAAACCGTCAAGTAAAGACTCTTTATTTGTAGAGTATTTGCATGAATAGAGTTGATAAAGTTTTGAACGGGTCCCCAAAATTTTTTGCCATCTAATAATGCTATACAATAAAAAAATACTTTTATTAACATTTTAAAATCTCATCGTGCGCTTCTCATAAGTTTAAAATTTTTTCTTTCTAAATATAAGAATTTGGAGTGCATAATGAGATACTTTGAGTGTCAATAACAACTCCATAAAAACGAACATTATTTTTTCTAAATTTTATCATATAATAATGCTATACATTCAAACGAAACTTTAAAGTTAGAGATTTTGAAGTCTTTTTTCTTGTTTGGTTGTTTAATATTGAATTGCTTTTGATTATTTAGTGAAAGTTATTTTTGTAGCTCTTATTATTTATTATTTAATGATATTTGTAAACTTATAATCAGTGAGTCCTAAAGTTTGTTTTGATTTAAATTATTACTTTCTAGCATCAATATATTATCCTACTTTTTTTTTTAAACCATCTTAAAGAAGAAGCTCTTATAAATTTCACACAGAACTTCTGTAATCTCAGAAAAGCCATGTTGCCAAGTATTAGAATACGATAGAGTTGAAGTTTGTTGAATATGATCCAGTCAAAAAGTATACTTGGAGACACAGAATATAAATGAAGTTGTGATCCAGGATGTCTGGTTAGATATCATTGTACAGAATTAAAGAAGTAGAAACAAACAAAACCCACCTCGTAAGCTCCTATGCTCGTAGCTATATGAATATGATTGCATCATCTCATCAGTTGGGCAGCAAGTTACAAGTTCCTGAAAGTTGACGGTATTGGTAAAAGGCACAGCCTCGGTTAAATGTTAATTTCAGTTGGCGCCAAATAAAATTTGTGGTGGGGTTTGGATAAAGTCCTCCTGGTCCAATCCTCTCCTATGAATTATATATACATATATATATACACACACACACACACACACTTCAGGTTGCTACTCACACGCACATGTATATATTTTTCTCCTCAGCCAATCCCTTTTTGTGTGTTGGTTTTCTCTCACCTCAAATTATTCCTCCTTCACTCACTCTCGCACCCACTCATTTTTTTCACTCTTCTTCTTCTTCTTCTTCTTCTTCTTCTTCTTCTTCTGGTTTTTCACCTCTCTTTCTTCTCATAATTCAACTTAAAGGGCTCCTTGCTTTTCTTGGCAAGTTTTTGGAGCGCTGGGTTTTGTTGTATGCAGCTTTTCATGGTTGGTTTCATTTCTTTCTGGTGAGCTTTTACTTATTTGTGTTTTTTTACAACTCAGTTGTGCTTTTGATCTTCTCAATGCTAGTGAAGAGGGTTTTGGTTTTTCTAAATTCTGCATGCCTTAAAGATTTAATGAATTGGATTTGGTGGAGAAAGAAAAATGGGGATCGATCTTACAATTCTTTCTAGTAAGTATAAAACAAATATTGTTAACTGTCCTCCACCGACACTTGGGATGTCATGGTGGCGGCCAATCGTGCACTGCCGTGTCATTTTTCACGTGACAATGTCTGATTGACTTAGGATACCGTCACCATGGGTTCCCAGGTGCATGGAAGTTCGTTATGTGTTTTCTAGTATTTGACAAGACAAGGCAAGTGATCATTGCATATCTTCTATACTTCTAACGAAAGTTGCACTTTTGTTCATGTCACAGAGTATCTTCTATACTTCTAACGAAAGTTGCACTTTTGTGTAGGGACTCCTTGGATGCAGTTTAAATGACTTTGATTTTGGCATCTTCAAACTTAATTGCTTCTGGATAAAGCACCGTCTTGAAATTATCTAAGTCCATATGGGTTTTGGAGAGACAAAATGTTCCTACGGCAAGCCTCCGTGGATATTCAAAGGCAGGTAAGCGTCCAACAGCACTTGCTTTTTTTATAACTTGACTGCTCTTTGTTCTTGGTAATGAAAAGGGACTTGCTGATTGCCCTGGTTTTTGTACCTAGCGCGTTGTATCAACTCCATCTTGTCAAAGCAGCAACTGTCCGAGCATGCATTCCGAAAGATTTCAGATTAGTTGAAGCATTTGGGTAAGTATAATTATAACATCGTTGTAAAAGAGAATAGTGTTCATATGATTTGTGATTGTTTTGAGAATTTGATCACTGAAAATTGTGTTTACACTTGTTGCAGGTATACTCTTGGCGGCTTCTTTCTTGCCAACTATGATGACAGTCCAGCAGGAGTCTTTGATGAGGTTTATGTCTTCTGTTTAATCGTCTCATCTAGGAAGTTAATACTTATTCGGCCTTGATCCAGAAATGAATCAGTTGTTGTTTATTGTAGGAGTAGTCCATGTTTGCTTAAGCATAATAAAGAAAACACATAAGTTCAAGTTTATTCAACCAGTCGCTAATGAGAGTGGGTTTATTTTCTCCCTCTCAGCTCGTTGTGATTGCTGGACTTGTATGGAGCCCTCCAACGTCTTGCGCGTATGTTTGCCTCAACCTTATCTTTCTCTGTAATAAGATGCTTGCATACAATCTTATTCCGGAATATGTACACTGTTAACTTTGGGGCTAATTATTCCCTAAGCTTGCCTCTTGAGCAACAATACCATAATTCCTAAACTAATTTATGTAGATCTTTATACAAGTGGTGTGACTGCCAGTTGAGTTAAATCTTTTCCTGTCAGATGTGACATTGTGTGAGGGTATTTAGACTTGGTAAATCCTCTTTAGGAGCAGAAAGTAGCGTATCATGGGGCGTACACGCAGAACTCGTCTCTGGGAGAGAGATCTGATTACTGAGCTATGCCTAGTGACAGCTAAATCATTAGTTTGTTCTTGTTCTGAATTAGAGTTGATACAATCCTGTTCTGAAAATTGGTTTTGAAGTAGTTTACTTATAAGCACGTTTTCTTGTTTTTGTCAAACAGCTGGGCAGCTAAGGTGCTTGTGAATAGTGATGAAGCTTGTAAACATGGACGAAAGGTGGGACGCTGCATAAGGCACTTTGCAGCAGAGCTTGTCGCGAATTCTTATTTTTCATATGTAATTCTTATGTTGGTTGCAGTGCCCTCTTGCAGGAAGTAGGGCTTCCAAGTCAAGTTGCGAGGTTTTCAAAGGTATGATTTGCATTTGAATTATAAACATGTTTTGCAGCTTGCATATGGTGAACTCTTCATCCCTAAGGTGGACTATGTGTAAAGTTTTTTACTAAAAGTATTTAAGAAATCCATTTTTCTGTGCAAAACAGAGGATTACAGCAGTTTCAAGGCAACCAAAGAGCAAAAATATTGGATTTCTTAATGTAAATGGTAGCAGTGCTGCCTTCTGTGATTCAAAAGATTCTATGGAAGTTCAAGTGACCGAAATCAAGGCTTCGTCGGTTAAAGATTCCTGTAATGTCAACCTTACCACTTTCAGTAAGTTGGTTAATTTAAACATCTCATTTCAATAGTATATGTCGGATGTTTTTCCTCTGTGGTTTTCATCTTGGCGTGAATCAACCACTAATGTTCCTAATTGCGAGTTTAATGACGGCAGTGCCTGAATCGAGTGGTGAGTTGAGGGGGCCGACGATCAAAATATCACTTCCAAGTTTTAGGTAAGTTTCTCGCTTAGTTTGTGTTTTGTGCACATAATTCCTTATGCTATTAGAGTTTAGCTGTTTCCCTTATTTCCTTCCTTCTGTTGTGAAATCGTAGCGGCGGCACAGAATATTATCCCAACCTTCTCAAGTACTCTTGCCGGATCGAGTGCAGGTTTTCTTTTAGTTTCAGCTACTTTTTTTATGTTCATCAGGCTTCATTGTGTTAAACTTACATGTATTCATCGGTTTCCACCTAACTCAAGTGTTAATTGTTAGTTTGCTGCCTGATCCCATTCTGACAGGGTACGAGCAGTGCATCCGGCAAAAGTATCAGGACCATCTCTGATGCCAATGAATGAGACCAAACAATCTTCAGAAATCCATACTAGCAATGCAAAGAACCACGCAACTGAAGAATTTGTGGATAAATGCAACCTCCTCTGGGAATCTGTGATGTTATCCAAGCCTGTATTGGCATTGGAGTTCAGTTGTATGAAAATGCAGGTTGAAGCTCCAGTTGTAGTTTCCAACTGTAAGAACTCTTTAGCAACCACTTGATCATAATTTCTTTGGCAGGCTGTAACTTTGTTTTATATATTTATTTTTGATGTATTTTCCATGGAATTAATTGGCTCCACCTGAATAATTCAAACAGATCGATTACTTGAAATTATTATTCTCAAATGTAAACTTGAAATTTGGCAAAAGCACTTCCTTTCTTTTCATTTTTTTCTCAAATTTTTACAAAATTCTTCTACTTTCCACAGCATGGAAAACCCATGTAAACATGTTACAAATAACAAACAAATGCAACTTTCATGCTTAGATGATTAAACCTTCGCAACCAAACTTCTTACAATCTCAACTCGGACTCTAACTAACAGATCAGTAGATCAGAACATTTCTGGTAGAGGCCGGCCCTCCAAAAACGACTTGAACAGCACGAGTGATCTCTCAGGCTGCGAGAATGGCGCTTCGTGTGATGCTCCTCTAATGGTGGCAAAAGAAAGCATATTACCATAAACTTGAGTCCATCCACCAACCTGCAGATGAAAAGATGAAGCATTCAATTTATCACGTTACACATTCGTAACAGAAGCATCTGAAAGTTCTTAAATTCAAGTAATCACAAATATGATTTACCTGCTGCCCTCCAAACCAGACTCTATAAGGCACAGTGGTACTTAATCTTAACTGCTCTGCGAGTCCGTTAACTAACTTTCGACTTCCAGTCAACGGGATAACAGAATCTTGGTCGCCGCTGAATGTTTAAAAATCAAATTTAGTCAACTGCAGTGAAATTTAGGATGAAACAAAATGTTTTGATGCTGTCTAAAGTTCATCTACCTGTAAACCAAGACTGGTATTCCTGCTTTGATGAGATTGCCTATGATTGTGATCGTTGGTATCTCCACATCCAGATGCTGATAATCCAGTATGCTGCCATAACACAGAAGATCATTTCAAAGGCAAAACTTTAAACGTGAATATTACTTTGAGATGCATTCGAATTTTTCAAATGTATGGCTTTGGAAGAGAATTACGTGCTGCAAACTGCCCATTGACGAACTCCAACAAGACGAGCATGAAGCGCCTTCTGCACGTCTGGCCTGTTCAGATAATTAACTATTTCATCCTCTACACATACATCTATTGTGTCAGCAACTTCCTGCAAAACGAACAAGTTCAATTGTTCAGAAAATGGATACGAACTTCGTGAAACCAAACCACATAATTTCATGCTGCAATGGAGCAATAGATGGTATTCACCTGAGGAAGGAGGGCTTTGGATTGGGAGAACACAGATGATATACAAACATCAAGGGTGACGTCATACTTGTCAACAAATTTACTGGTTTCTGTGCTCACTTGGCTCATCACCCTCGCACAAATAGGCGAAAGTGAGCCCCTGTAATATTCACTCACATACCGCGAGTAGTTGCAAACGGAAGTGAACATGTTGTATGTCGAATCAGATATCAACCCATGAGACCAGAAGAACTCAGCTCTTGAATTGAAGTCGGTTGCAAATTCTAGGACTGGATTGCCCAACTGCCATGAGAACAAAACGTTTAGACCAAAATCTAGACGACGAAAAGATGGTAGTTTTCAAAGATTATTACTCACAGCAATTCCTTTCAAATTGAACTGATATTCCTTCTTGAATTGGAGCATGAGTTCTGCTAGCTGAGGAACATAATGACCTACAGAATAAATAAAATCAGTTCCCTTTTTACGTATTGGGGTATTTTTTTCTGACGTCGAAAATATTTTCAACATTAGGATCGAGTCAATCAGCATCGAGAAATAAGCAACAGTGAGGAAAAAGATGAAGATAATATACCAGCATAGCTTTCTCCGGTAATGTACAGACTTCTATTTCTGTATTGGGGAAACTTTTCTAACCACTTTTGCAAGAACAGAAGATTGTCCCTGGCTGTAGACAACAAGGACAAAATTCAGAAATCACACATAGCCTGTAAAGGTGAGCTTTTTGTCAACTCACGACGACAATCACAAAACAGCATCACGCATGGCGTATCTGTAAAGTGAATTTTGGAAATTCAAAAAATAATAAAATTAGTGGAAACCCCATCATGAAATATGCTTTTGAATCTTTGGTGACAAGATATGAAAAGATTTCATATGGAACTTTGGAAGAAATAAAAAGAATACTTTCTTCTTTTTTGGGAAAATGAACAAGGGAAGATGATAGCAAGACAAGTTGACTTGAAAGTTAGGTGCAGAAATTTTGTTTCTTTCCTAGCAAGATTTCTGCTTGCTGAGAAAATTTGGAAGATAAAATAAAAATTTAGAGTCCGTTCTGTGAACATTTCGTTTTTAGTTTTTATTTTTTGACGGAAATAGTTAGAAAAAAAATCAAATTTGAAATAGGTGTCATGCCTGTGATGTGATCGGTTACACCCTCATAGGAAGATGTATCCGTTGAGTAAGAGAACCCCACTCCAATTGGTGTCTCCAAGTACAGCATGTTTGCTTCTGCAAATCAATGAGCATGTCAAGCAATCTGCGACGTTGGATTGTTTTGAAAAACACCATTGATCAGAAAATATCTCACCTGTATTCCAGCTATGTTCATTTCGAACCAAGACTTCTCCTTGGGGCCTAAACGGTCCGTTCTCAGAAAATGCTCCGACTCCAAGGGAAGAACAACCAGGACCTGGAAAAATCACAACCCATAAAAAACCCAGAAGTAAAATCTCATTTATTTAAAAACCCAGATGGTAAAAATTGTGAGAAGTAAAAAGGATGGAAAATTTAGTGGTGGGTAAGAAATGGGGACCTCCATTGAGCCAGAGGACAAGAGGCTTGGAAGCTGGATCTATTTCTGCTTCAGCTAAGTAGTAAAACAGAGCCTTCTGCTTTTTCTCATCAACGGTCACATAACCCGAATACTGCTGGAACCCAACTGGGGGCTGACCCGGCAACCCGGTAATTCTATCGAGCAGAAAAGGAAAAGCTTCTGCTTCAAAGGAGGAAGAAGTTATGTGGAGGAGAAGTAGAGTGAGTACAATGGTTGTCCATGGTAGGGAAATCATGGTTTGAGTGGGAAGAGAGAGCAAAGAGCCTAGAGAGAAGGGAAGGACGAGTGAATGGAGGTCAGCTGAGGCGAAATGGTGGCCAGAGTGGGGCACTATATAAAGATTACAAGAGACGGGATATCTTGTTATTTTGCAATTATATTAGGTTTTTAGCTCAAATGGTCAATGAGATTATTGTAACTTTTTATTCTAATCTTTGACATTGAAAATCGAAAAAGGTGATCTATGAGTTTGTTTACAGCAAATCATTTTGGACATTCAGTAAAAAATTTGTCAAAATCATCGCTAAATGGAGGGGTTGTTTGACAAATATATCCTTTAAAATGTGGTCATTCACATAGCAATTTAACGAGAATATTAATAGATTTTTCATAAAACGATCAAAATGATTTACGGTGGAGAAGAGAAACTCAGTGGACCACTTCTATCGATTTTCATTGTTAATGGCCAAAATGAGAAGTTAAGCCTATCTCAAGGACCATATTGGCTAAAAACCCTTATTATAATTGAACTTTTGTCCATTCAGAGACTTTGGACCCAAAATAGGAAAAAGACTTACATGAAACGGTTCATCATCACGTGACGTTCTTGACCAATAATGCATTGTTATGTGTAAGTTTTTCTCCACATAGCAATGTAGTATTCAATAAGAGAACTCATTTCATATAAATTGCTCTCCTTAAACAAAGATGTGTGTGATCATGTGAGGAGAGACCCTTGCTGTGAATTTGTCACTTGGGGTCATAACTCAAAAGAGACATTCTATGGTTCGGCAGGTGCACCACGTCGTCCGTCACCATACTTAAAAAAGAGAGACCCAGACATCCGGGTGGGATAAGTATTGGGTGTGTGAGGAGAGCAACTTATATGCCACATGTACACAATCATGGTGCCATTCAGTGCCAATGATATAAGGACACATACACATTGAAAAAAATAATAATAACTTACCTTATAAAAGGGAATGTGTAAATGATACAATGATAACTGGTTGATATATCATAAGTTTCTGTTGGTTAAGCGGGATGGAAATGCTGTTGTACACGTTGTGGCCTCATATGTTGCCTCACATGGAGGTGTTTTTCGTTAGGATGCTCTGAGTTCTGAGTTTTTATTTGATATTTTAGCGAAAGATGTAAACGTTTCTATCCGTATTTAATAAAATCTACCTTTTGACAAAAAGAAAAAAAAAATGATACAATGATAAGGACACGACCACCACATGGAAGAACTTAACTATATAGGGGGAATTCAATGTGTGTGGAAGAGTGACGTGGTTCAAATTAACGTTGCACTCCAAAATTTCTCCTATTTGCCTAGAGAAAGAATCAAACGGTACGGGTACACTGTAATCATAGCATTATGTGTCAATAATACGTGTAAGCTCCTTTATTATATGATCTCATATGATTAGCATGTGACATAGAAAGATGATTCTTTTCTTTCCTAATCTCTCTTTTATTTCCTCCTCTTTTATTTAAACGATCACAATTAAATCATGTCAACATTTTATATTAATTTTTTTATAAAAATAATAAGACAAAAAAACATATATGAAAGGAGAGAAGGGAAAGAGATGAAAATCGAAAGGGAGATAATTCTCATCGTTCGTATAAAAGTATTCGTACCGTGCAGGTAACTCTTGTCTGCCTAAGCGTGTCTTTTGGGTAAAACTTGACTGAGTGAGTCAGGAAAATAGGTTGTTACTGTTGCTGAAAATGAAAAGAGAGAGTGTGCTTTAAAGGCACTGGACACTCTATTAATTCACAGATTGTACAGAACTCTACTGTAATTGTCTTTTTTGAGTTAGTCCAACAAGTACTCCAAAATCTACAACTGAAGCTGCAATTGGATTCACCGTAAATATACTCTGCTCCATATACAACTTAAGAGAAAAAATTGAATTAAATAAATCTTTTTAACAGAAGGGAAAAGTAGCTTGCTATATACGCATGGCAATGGCGCCACTAAACAGTTGAAGGTGACCACCAACCAGAGTGTAATTATGTCTCCACAGAAACTCACTACAACTTTCTACATCTTCTTTATTTTTTTTATTTTTTTATTTCTAAGAGATTAGTAAGGTATTGAATCATGAGTTATGATTTAGGAGGGTCAATGCCAATGGTAAAGACATATCACATTCCAGTCCGCATTTGATAAATTATCTAAAAGCATACATACATCATAAACGATTGACTTTAATACAACAAACAAATCTTTTAAAATATAAGAGCATTTCCAAGAGATGTAAAACAACCAAAACTCTATTTTAAATAGTCAAATCTAAGAAAAAAAACACATTTCTAAAACTCTATAAAAAAAAAGTCTCTATTATAACAAAATGAACAATCAATCTTAAAATTTACATAGTAACTCTTTATCAACTAAATATTAATAAAAAATAAAAATCAAGGCGGACCATTGAGCAAAGAGAAAAGAAAGAGAGACAAATCTGTTTTAGAAAATGAGTGTGTTTGGTTTGAATTGTTAATAATAAAAATATTCAATGTTTATCAAAATAGAGAGTGATGTTTAAGATAAAAAGTAGCTAAAATAATTTGTTGACACTGTTTACTTGTGGTTTAACAAAAATGGATTTGGATCCTCTCCTGAGCAGGAGATCAGGATCCTCGGGATCAAACAACATAGGCCGTTGGATTTTAATCCAACGGCTATAATTATTATAACTTTTAGAGGGATCCTCTGTTTGTAGCCGTTAGATCAAAATACAACGGTCTATGTTATTTGAACCCGAGGATCTTGATCTCCTGCTCAGGAGAGGATCCAAATCCTAACAAAAATTTAGAAATTCTCTCTAATCAAATCGACTAAGATTAAACTATTGCGCGTGAGCCCTAGCAAGCACTCAGCCGCAGAAGGCTATAACCTCTTTTTTCCCATGGTTCTGTGTGAAGTAGGACAAAACATATTCCGTCATTCCATGTCTTGTTTGCGGTCTTCTCAGCCCTCGAGCTCAGCTTAAGGTAAGGTCTCAATCTTTGCTCGTGACAACTTGGAAACTGTCCAACTTATTATTCATTTTATTTTTCCGCACAAATTAAATCCTAATTAATCCGCATGCAAAATTTTGTTTTTATCGTCGCCAATCAAAATATACTTACCTGTTTGCAGCAGCCAGCATCTCTGTAATATTTAGGTCACTTTTTTTAAGAGAAAAAAAAGAGAGAGTAGGGTTTCAATGGAAAGTGCCAGTGCCTGTGCTCGAATTTGGTCGAGAAATGTGCCCAGAAATGGAAGTGAAGCAATGAGCATTCTGTGAGTTTGGAAATCGAAGCAAAGGCTTCACTTGTTTCTTCACCTCTTTTTCTTTCTTTTTTTAATTATTCTTTATTTTAAACTTGATGGTTTTTTTTTCTTTTGGTTATATTTTAGTTGTTTACAGTGGAAAAGCTAGCCAACTTTCAGAATCGATAATATCTATTTTTTGGTTCTTACATTGGCCTAGACACGCATGGTTAGCACCCAAAAAATTTGATTTCATATTTGATTAGGGTTCTGTGTGTAGACAAGTAAATGGCAATGGATTGAGATTTTTTTCATTTCTAATTTAAAACCCTTCAAAGTTTCAATGTACATTCATTCTAATACTTAGAAAAAGTACTTTATAGATGTATACAAGGTTTGTAGTTAGTTTGTGTTAACAATAGATGTATACAGTAACTCTAATCACACTGATATCGTTCTCAATTATTTTTCCCTTTTTATCAACATATCAATCCCAACTTAAGCCTATTCCGAGGATCTCATCTCCAGCAACCCAATCCTCCCCTTATTGGCCAGATCTTTTACTGATGACTTGTTTTGCCAGATTTGTAGGGGTATTGCCCGAGTTGCAGAGACACAAGGAGCAACGATGCATCAGTCGGAAACGAGAGAGAATGCAAATTTAGTATTATTTTAGAGAACTCTTAATAGCACTCCAAAAATCTCATTATACATTTTTCATAAATGTAATTTTCTTACTAATTATAGAAAGTTTAGAGTGCAAAATAAGATTTTTGGAGTGCCAATAACAATTATTTTGTTTTAAGTTTAACATTATGCTAAATTCGCTCTCCTCCTAGCTAATGTTCATTTTGTTGATTTAGCTAGTGGGATTGCTAGTCTGTTGGACTTCCACTTTTTTCTCTTGGCCTGCTAAAATAGCAAAAAAAAACCTATTTAACTAACTTGTTGGAGATGCTCTTAGCTTTGGACCAAAAGGGGGCGTTTGTTTCACCTCCTTAGGAGGGACTAGATTAGATTGGACTATAGTTCCATGTTTGATAGGTGCTAGGACTAAGTTAAGTGGGACTAAAGGGGACTCGTGTGGACTAAAGGCCTCCTTAAAGGTTCTTAGCGAGGCACTCTCCAAACCACGGGACTTGCTAAGACCTGCTTCTTCCTCCTCCCTGCGAGCCCCTCTGTGAGTTCTGGGCTTCTTCCTCAGCTCCTATGTTTTCACAAACGCCGAGAGCCACCATCATTCCCCCTCGCCAATTCCCCCTTTCCCTCTTCCTCTCTCCTCGCTTTCTTCTCTTTCTGCTCCGCCAAGATCTGAGCTCGACTCGAACTTGACCGCGTTTCAATTCGAACCTCCGAGATCATGCGGTGCAAAATCCATTGCAGGAAGGAGCTGTGATCACGGTTTTGGATCTGATGGTTTTAGTGTGAGTCTGCGACTCTGTGTGGGTGTGGAGGAATTGTTGTTGCTTTTGTAGACTTGGAGGTCTCTCAGTCTCATCGGTTAATCTTGTTATTCTTAATTGTTTTTTGCAGTTAATCAGAAAAAAAGAGGAAAGGGAGGGAGAGTGTGGGACGGAGAAAATGAGGAAGAAAAGGATGGAGGCTTCCACAGAGAGAGGGAGAGTATTATTAGAAAGAAAAAAAGAAGATAGAATTAATTAATATAATATTATTAGATATGAATTAAAAAATATAAAATATTATAGTTTGTTATTATCCTTCTTTTTAGTCCGACACTGCACCAAACGCTTCACTAAGTTAGTCCAGCTTAGTCTAGTCTAAACCAGTCCAGCTTAGTCCCTGAAGCTAATCCAGTCCGAGATAGTCCGGTGCAACAAACGCTTCCAAAAAGTACTAAGTGGGAGTAGCTTAGCTAGGACTAATAACCCACGTTTGGTAGAGTCCAGAATTAAAATAAATGAGATTAACTCGGATTCGAACTGACTCCACGCCCCTTATCTAATTCTGGTGAAATTTTTAGTTGTAACGGGAACACGGATGATACGTCACGTGTTTTTATGCAAGTGGTGAAAAAATTTAATTTTTAAGTTATTAACATTTTAACATACATAACCTATTATTTATATAGAGACACATAATGTACCATCTCGTGTGACGATCACACTAAAAAATCCCTCCCAATTCTGCGCGGCAGAGAGGGATCAGACGGGATCAGAAGTAGGCACGCGAGTTCTAGGCTTTCGTTCTTTTTGGATCTCGATGGGGCTGCAACTATTTGTTTCCATCATTGGGATGATGATGGGATTAGCATGGGTATGGCAGAAATATATTAGCATTGATTAACTTAATTATTAAGCTTATTAGTTGAAATGTCCCTTGAAACTGTCATTTATTTTCAATTTACCCTTTGAAATTGATTTTGTCTCACTTTAGTACCTAATTAAAATTGACATTTTCAATTTTTTTGGTCTGACTTCACTCCATTCCGTCGAAAACTAACATACACATCCATCATACTTCAGATCATGACTACAAATTCATCGATAATATAAGCAAAGAATCACTTTGGTGATAAATTAATTACAATTTTGACTTTAACTTACAATAAAATGGTTGTTCTGGATTACAACGAGCTGCCATCATCACCCATATTAGCCATCGAATGCCTAAATTCCTTTCTCTTCTTCCATAAACCCTAATTTGTTTCGCACGATCAATCGACTGAACTCGGGCTAGAGGCAAATACAAAGAGGTGTGTGGTAATAAGCTTTTATTTAACTAAACCTTGAAAACTGAAATGTCTACAATACGCTTGAATTTAACAATTCTTCAACAGAACGGGGATGAAGTGAAACCAAAAGAGTTGACAATGTCAGTTTCAGAGGGTAAACTAAGACAAAATCAGTTTCAAGGGATAAATTGAGAATAAATGGCAGTTTTATGGGTCATTTCAATTAATATGCCTGATTATTATTATAATTTTTTTGTAATATATTAGAATTAATATGATTATCTTGAAGTTCATCCATTCTAATATTAAAAACAAAAATTGAATACTGCTTACTTTAATTGGGAGGAGAGCTAAATTTAATCATCTTAGATCAGAAAGTGAAACCCTTCAAAGTTTCAGTTTATAGTTTATATTCATTCTTATACTTGGAAAGTTACTTTATAGATGTATATAAGTCGTTAGTTGGTTTGTCTCCGCAAAAACACGGATGCAAGTCAGAAATTGGTGAAACCCTAAAGCATAAATAGGTAAACTTGTATAAGTCAGACCTGCTTTTGACTTGACAAAATGGATGAATTGTTGACACAAGTGAAAACTAGAAAAAATATTTGAGACTTTGAAGCTCTCTCTCTCTCTCTCTCTCATGTGTGTTTGTGCGGTGATGATGGGGCCAAGAGGGGAATGATTTTCACTCGAGCATGTTGGAGAAAACATGCTATGTAATGTGACATTTTAATTTTTTTACCAAAGCTAGACCACCCGATTTGTAGAGACAAAAGGCACTGGCTAGCCGCCCACAGGGCCACACCATGCATGCCTCTACATTTTCATCTAGCAAGCCTCCTCGATCCCACCACGTTTGCCTTTTCTTTTCTTGCTGTCCCATCTCTACTAAGTTCATCAACTTTCACAACTGTGGAGAGAAAAAAAAGGTATGTTTTAGAAGAGAGTTCCAACATCACCTCTTAACCCAACGCATAATCTAATCCAGTGTAATGATTCCGGTGTAATAATTATGAGGAAAACCATGATCGATACGTCCAATTGTAGGGTAATCTTTGAATTTCAGGTGTGTTTACACTTTGAGTTTTGTATTAATGACACTTGTGATCATATTGTTCGAGGGAGCGTTTTGATCTAAACGTAGTCAATATTATGGTATGTCAAGAAACAAAATGTGCCTATCGACACTGGCAATATTATCCATGTAAGCAACCGGACTATAGGAAAAATAATTCAGGTAAACAAATTATAGCTCCATATCTTTTAGGGAATTTTAACGAAAAACCACATTTTTACACTAAAAAGTCAATCATGGTAATATTCACTTTACCCTTTATTTTGTCATTTTCGTTAAAACTCAAAGTTTTCAAATCTTTTTTTTATTAATTTTCCTTATTTTTTTGTACAAATTAGAAGGATTGTGGTTAAAGAAACTAAGATCGGTTACATTTTTCAAAACTTTCCATGCAAATCAACATTTGCTATGAAAATTTGAAATAAGCAAAAGCATGACTTACCATTTTTTTTCCTTACATGGACTTCAAATGATAATATGTAGATCAATAGAAATCATATGAGCAAGAAATAAGAACCTTTTCAAAGACAGCTTTTAACCTTATGGATATAAGGTGATGAACAAAGACTCATGTGACATCAATTTGGCGTCCATGTAAGTTAGTAGTGAGTCAATCAAATGCTTAAAAAAAAGATCAACTTGATAGTTTGATAGACCGATAGGGCAACAATATATCAATTTGTAATTAATTTCTAGGGTTGTTTTTGCTAATTTGTGTAAGGCCCAATGCTTTGTTTTTTTTTTTTTTTAATAAACGATATTATCTACACTAATGGCGCGTTTACTAATCCGTAATCAAATTGAGAGGAATTGGATTGAGGGGGAATTGGATTGAGGAGGAATTGAAATGAGGTGGAATCAGAATCAGATTCCTGTTGAAGTTGTTTACTAAAACTGTCAGGAATCGGAGTAGGAATGATGTTGAGTCCATATAAGTTGTTTACTAATTCATTTCAATCGGAATGAAAACTAGGTTGATTACTATATTGCCCTTACATAAATAAATTATTTTCATACTAATAATTTAATTAAATTCTTAATTAAATTTATATAATAAAATTCATCTATATAAGCATGTATAAATAGGTTTTATTTATTTATTAAAAGATGGCAAAAATGATATTGAGTCTATATAAGTTGTTTACTAATTCACTTCAATCGGAATGAAAACTAAGTTGATGACTAAATTGCCCTTACATAAATAAATTATTTTCATACTAATTAATTTAATTAAATTCTTAATTAAATTTATATAATAAAATTATCTATATAAAAAAATGTAAATAGGTTTTATTTATTTATTAAAAATGACATAATGAGTGTCAAATGAAGGGCACTGTTGGGATAATAAGAAACAAGTGAGGGCATAATTGGAATAAAATATGCATTCCTGATTCCCTTGCCCTTAGGGAATTCAAATACCTCACAAAACTAGGGAATCCGGTTCCTCCAATTTCAGGAATTGGATTCCTTGTTTCGTGTGGGCTCCACCACTTTTTTGATTCCTTAATATTTAGTAAACACCGGAATACTCCGTAATCGGAATTCAATTCCCTTTCTTTATTCCGATTACCCTTACGTAAACATGCCATAAGAGAAAGGAAGTGGTTAAGCCTCACAATGTACTTGCAATAATGTGGTTCAAATTCGTCTTTAGCAAGAATCAAACTTACTTCTTATTTACAAATAAAAAAAAATATCACCAGACCTAGTACTAAGTATCGGCCTCAATGCCTTGTTACAGAGTCAAAATCACAGATATGCAAATGAAATCATTCACCACAAACTTTAATTATAGTGGAGGAAGATTCTAAACGATGTTAAACATGTAGGGGTGTGTGTAGTGTCTATGGGGGTTCTAGATTAGGGTTTATAATAACCCTCTATTAGCAAAGAAGGGTCCCATTTCACAGAAATGGGAAGGGGAAAAACCGATAGGCAAGGGGAATTGGGTCAAATCCACCTTTAGGTTTCTAGTGTCTTTCTTTCATTTGTACGCGAACATTTTCACCATTTTCTTTTTCTCTTTCTTCTTTTTACTGGGATGGGGTGGGGGAGTCCACCCAGAAGGCCATGGCCCCAACGGGGGGCACTGCGTACTATTATATTCAAGTGCACATGCCTATCCTGCTAAGTGCTGCCATCCAATCCTTCAGAATACAATGCAAATTGTAGACATCTCTCTCTCTCTCTCTCTCTCCCCTAAATTTGGTCCCAGTTAGTCGATCAGTTGCCCAACTCTCTTGACTCTTGTGGTAAGTTTATGTTATGGCCCCCGGGTGACACTTACGATATATATTTCAGTCACTGTGGCTAGTGGCTTCAACAAAATATGCAGAGCGTGCTTAGTGCCATGGACCGCGTGACAGAGACTCCAGTGAGAGAGAAAGAGAGTATAGCAAATATTCCAAGCCTTCAACAGCCATTTTACAACGTTCCATTTATGAGATGACAAAACCAATTTCCCAGCCTTATTCTTTCTTTCTCAAGCCCGTAAATGAAGTGAATCATTTTTTCATGTGTTTGGTTCAATTTTGGTAGTGTATATCCGCATTGCAGATGGGTGGGAAAAAAAAATTCTGAAAGAAAGCGCACCTTGAAGCATTATTTCTTCCTCTCTTGTTTGAAACATATTTTTGCATCTTTCGTAGCCAACTTATACAGTTCTTCCTAAGCCATAACTAGAGGTGTCAAACTGGCGAGCTGGCACGAGCAAGACACGAGCACGGCCCATTTAAATAAGACACGGAACGACTCAAGTTCATTTAATTAAAGCATGGCAGATCACGATTCGTAAGAAGTGGGCAGGGTGAGCCTAAGATTTAGGCTCTAAGGACAGACCGACTCACGGTTCGTGACCTTAGTATTACAGTTTAATGGTATTCCTTTTAGTAAGAAATCTTAAATTCGATTCTTACCAAAAACGAATTTGAACCACATTATTATGGCAAGGCCATTGTAAACCATAGTCCACTCCTCCACCCCCTTAGTGTAAATACTATTGTTTCAAAAAAAAAAAAAAACATTTTAAGGTTGAGACTTAATATAAGTTATGTTTAGTTCAATAACATGTTCAAATAAGTTTTTTTTTTTTCAATTTTTGTAGGAAATATAATCTTTACAAAAATTGGAACAGACTACAAGAGTTGTAAAAAAATAGAACAGAAGAGGGCATACTGAAATTCGATCTGTACAAAAATTGGAACTGATGGTGTTCGATTGCGAATATGTCTACGTATTACAAGAGACGAACTCACCTCTCATGTGTATTAACTACGGCCGCCGTGTTAGGCAGAATCTCATAAAATTGCTCCAACAAAATCAGTTTAACGCAAATAAATGAACTAACAAGAAAAAAAATGCAGGCAATAGCTGATCATAATACATCTAAGAGATATTTACTGTCAAGCTTAGCTTCATTGTGGAGCGGATTTCTGCGCAACAGATGCGGAAGAGTACTCTTGATCGATTGCCTTGCGGGATTCCTCCCACAGCCGGCTCTCAATTCCCAATTTCCTGAGTTCCATCAACCCTTCCTCAACTGATCAAAAAACACGCATGTTTAGGCAAAAACCAATTAACAAGCTGCAATTTTGAATCTCAAATGGAATGCAACGATTTTGTGTGCAAGGACTGAGTGAAACGTAAAATTTTGAGAAAAAATGAAAGTAAAACTGACCATCAACAGCATCATGTGAAGTCGGTGCATGCCTACCGCGGTTAATCCAAAATTGAACTCTTTCTTTGGCAATGTCCTCCTCTATACCAAGAACTTTGGCTCTTCTCCAAAAATAAGTAAGCCATGCCTGGCAGTTGAATACGATGAAAATGATTACATTAACAGTAATCAATATCTTGTCCTTGTGAAAAATGAATCGTACCAAAGAAACGCGTAGACAAGTATGTTTATTAGACCAAAAACCGAAATGACTATTAAGTTTGAAGATTATGACAAGTGACTACTTGAACCATTTTATTTTCTGTAGATCAAATGCATGTGGCAGTTGATTAACAAGCTGGTATATTTCTATTAATACAAACCATACTATTAGTTGAAAAATTTAGCCACAAAAAGGTTTCCGTTATATAAAACTTCAGCAATTGAAGTGTACATGTAATTAAATATATGCCTATACGGAAAGAAAATGATTTTAAACAAATGGGACACAAATACGAATGAAAAGAAATGAAATTTCAAACCTCCTTAAAAAGAACATCCTCCGACTCCTCTGGACTCAACTCTGCAAGAAAACATTAATATCAGTACATATTACATTGCCACTATGACAAACAAATTTTTGAAGGCTATCCATCATTTGATTACGACATAAATAAAACTGGAGATCTTATCGATTATCACACAATACTTACAAAGGAGAGAGTTAATGACTCTCTGCACAATGTTTTATGAGAAATTTATGTAATTTGATTGGATGCTGATATATGTTACTATTTTGTCCCTATTCCATAATGTAGTAAGTTAGTAACAGTTCCAAATTTTATTTGTTTATTTTTAAATATGGAAAACTATGGATACCCCAACGACTTGGTATCTAAGAAAGAGAGGCATACCAATGGCCTCCATAAACTTTGGATCAGCAGGTGATTTGATATCTGAAAAACCTGTACGTGCAAAAGACAGTAGGAACTTTAGACGATAGCAAATATCAGCAGAAAAGCCAACCAACATGCCAACATGATATAATAACACAATGCATACCCGAGAATGATAATCGAGCAGAGTTTGGACACCGTTGTTGGGCCAATGCAAGCACAATTTCACCCTCAACCTTCGTTGTACAAAAAATCATATATTATTGAGAAAAATAAAAAAGCAGCAGATTACTGAGAAAGACACTGAAGCAACCTAATACAGACAGTAAAAAGAGAGAAAAATACTAATCTAGCATGGTGAGTCTGAGTCAGAGAATAACAAAATATGAGAACAAAACAAGACGGCAATGCATCAAAGTGCACCTTCAAGGAAGCAAGCTCTTTCAATCCCATTTCAACTGCAAGCATACTCTCAATGTTTCCTTCTCCAGTTAGATCATTCAAGTCTTGCACCAGTTTGTTTCTCCTCTCAACATCATCATTACCTGTTCAATGTACGAAGAATTAGAGCATGCCGTAACTACAATGACCTACTATTGTCACAGAACCAAACACTACAAAAATATATACTAACAAAAAACACTGCATGATGATTACTAGCCTTTTCCCAACGTTCCTCCTTAGCCTTTTGTCCTGCAGAAATGACGACCTCAAATGGGAGAGGAGCTAATGATGACCAGTATTCATACTTAGATACTGCAATATCTGCACATATACCTACAAGGCGAAACAGAGATTATGTTAAATTGAGTCAGATGAAAGGTGGGCATCATAGAAACCAATTATGAAGGAAACAGCTCTGACTATGTAACAGATTGCCCTCTTTTCATTGTCTTGTATTAGTTTTTGTTTTCGTTATTAAATTTAGTTTACTTTCAATAAAATAAAATGCAAGCAAGGGCAAACAAAAAAAGATTTCAATGAGTAATTAATTGTCAGAATAAATTTAAAATGGACCATTTAAGAGTAAGACAAGTATCATGTAGAATAGATACCAAGCTTTGCAGCTAAACCCCAATTGCGTGCAAGCCAACACCTCTTGAGGACTACTTCTTCCTGAAATACGGATATAATAAATAATCAAAATCCTCCAGATGCTAGTAATATGCTCTCTGCAGTGCGAATACTAAACAATTAATCACCAATGACTTCATATGCTCCAAGAAACGGGTACACATACCATTTCTTCCTGAGTCAATATCATTCTTTGTGTCATTGACTGTAAGGATTTCACTTCTGATTCAGCTCCATGAAGTTGTCTCATAACAGTGGCACTCGCTTCTTTTGCTCTCTGATTCAAGCAGTTATGTTAAAGACAGAATTATAAAATATTTGTAGTAGTAGCAGTAGAAAATTCCTGAAGGAGCCAATGTAGAATAAATCATACTCTCAATACGCTTTTCCAAGTACTATTTCCTAAATTTAAATTTTTGTACGGTGAATCTATAATATTGAATATTTTGTTATGCTTCAGCCTTCAGACTTGGATTTAGATTTCTTTTTTGGCAAACTGACAACGCCCGCATGGTAGCATGCTTACCTCAACTTCAGACCGAAGGGACGCAACTTCCTTAAAGGCCCCATCTTTTGACTGTTTTGCATCTTTAAGTGCAACCTATAACAATAAAAAAAGCCTCCTTAGCTTTCTTTGTTTTTTCTTTGTTTTTTGTTTTTTTTTGTTTTTTTTTTTTTGAAATAATTCATGTGCATTCTGGTTTAGTAAACTCCTGATAAAAGTTAGATAAAAACAAAAAACTTCAACCAAGTGAGTATGTAAGTACGTTTGGCTTGTAATGAGGTGGGGCAAAAATCAAACATTTCAAGTTTCTATAATTACCTCGTTTTGCCGCAAGGCAGCTTCCTTTCTGCAAAGCAACAAGAAAGGATGTCATCAAAGGAAAATGAGAATGAAAAGGGCAGGCATTAAGGTTAGTTAACTTTAGTACACCTGCTCAAGAATTTTGCATCCAAAGACAAGCCTTCGCCAAACGCAGCAACCTGAAGACTCACAAAAGCAAACTTCATGTTTAATAAAGGCACACTCTCAGACATTATGCGGCAGATCATAATAATAACGCAATTACCTGTTTTTCAAGTTCCGAATTCTAGCCTCTGTCTCATCGCATCTCTCTTCTTCATGTCTAAGCTGTAAGATAAATTTCAGAATGGAATCAGTTACAGATAAGGTCAGTTAAATTAATTAATCAAGAAATAACAAGGATAACGTATTGCACCTTATCAAGAATATTCTCATTCTCTTCTTGTAGCATTTCAAGCTGCAATTTAAACAGTACATGAGTACCACTCCAAGGATAGGAAATAGAAAATAATTTCCTTATTTATCTAAAGTGGTATACAAATGACACATTCAGATGTTAGGTGAAAATAAAATCCAATAGACGTTATTCATGACATACTTCATCACGGAGTGAAGAAGAGTCTCGTTGATCTCCTGGATCTTTTGATTTGTAATTTCCTATTTCTGACAAGAATCTGCAATTCATGCACATCCATTATGTTCAACTTGTATTATTCATTCATATAATGGAAACCCCAATCCAAAAACCCGATAGGGGGTCATATGGCATGCATAGAAATGACCCTATTAGCAAGACATTAATTGGACTCCTTATATAGTATGAATACATTTGAAAGCCTGAACGAGAACGATAGTCAAAACTAAGGTAAACTATGATACTGCTCATGGCTAGATCGATCAGTTTCGGGTCAAATAAGAAGAACTAGAAGATTCCACCTCCTATCCCGTCACTCTATACCTAAACCTCTGAAATTCATAAAATAGTGGTAGACCTTCAAATGTCCAATTATCCAAATGACACGAGAGAAAGAAGATTCTTTACCTATTCTCTTTTTTGCTATTAGTGGTGGGAGGATCCAATGGCGGCATGGAAGTTGCTGTCCTCAGTGTTGTTCTATTGGGTGGTACCAATGGAGGTGCTGCACGAAGAGACATTGCTGGCCTTCCTGCTGATGTTGAGTGAACTTGTGGAGTTACGTCTAAGGAGTTCCGAGCTAACTAATTAAAACATCAGAAAATTCAATTAGCCCTCTGCATTGAAGCCAAAACTTCCCCATCCATTCACAACACCATTCATCGACACACACATTCCTTTCAAGACACAAAAAAGTAAATGCCTACCAGTCTAAGTTGTGTATGAACAAATCTAAACATCAGTCAATCAAACTTTACACTCAGTAGAACTCAATATCCACACAAAAGGCAGCCTTTTTCAAGCTGAAGAGGGCAGAATTTCACAAAATTCATAGTTAATCAGAATAGACAGAGCAATGTACTACCGGATTTCAAATACAAGAGCAACTAAATCCACATTCAGTTCTTCGTCCGCTCAAATTCAAGCACGATCTGATTGGATTTTGACGAATTCATTCAACCTCTCAGTACTTACAACCGAAAAAAAAAAAGTGCACAATTGAGAAAGCTCAGAGATTTACCGCGGGCGAAGGTGATCTAGTAGTGGACTTCAAAGACGGCGCCGCCGGCTTAGCACCGGCACTGTTGGCATTCCTCGACACAGAGCGGCGGCGGAACACTGTACCGGAATCCTAGATCATCATCTTCGTCGTCGTCGCCGTCGGCGGTCTGAGAGGCCATGACCTGAGCGAGGCGCTGGGCCGCGGCCTTGGCGGCAAAGTTCTGAGTGCGTTTAATGTTGGAGATTCCGCTGGCGGAGGAGGACCGCGCGTGGTGGCCGCGCACCGGCGACATTGCAGGAGATGTAGCTCCGCCGACAGTGGTGGTGGACTCGCTCGTCCACTGGCGGGCGTAGACCGGGCTGTCGGTTCGCCTCCGGTCCATGGAGTCGTAGTCAGTTAGTTAGCTAGTTGCAGGCAATGGGAGGCACCTAGATCGCGCTCTAGGATGTAGGGGTAGCGTAGGCGGGGACTCGACGGCTCCAAGGTCGGAGCTTTTTTCAGCTGAAGACTGAACAGAGCTTGGACAGAGAGATTTTGTGGGTCTTTGGATGGGGCAGACCGCTGTCTGTAAACTTTACGTTAGTCAGAGATTGCATTACGACTTACAAGTAATTTATATTTTATGATGGCAAATTGGTCTTTTTCCGGTGTATCTCATGGGCAATTAGATATTTAGATGGATACTTTTGGTAAAATGAGAGGATAATGTTTGTCCCTGGGTGAATCAACTTGTCCTTCTGCTTATGATTATCATAACAATATTACGTCTATTTGTCATTCTGCTTATGATTATCATGACAAATTATTCTAATTAATATTATGATTTAGTAATATTTCTCTTCATTAGTAAGTGAGATATCTCATGTTCGATTCTCGTCAACGACGGTTTAGTAATATCGTTTGTTCAAAAAAAAAAATTATATCTACTTAAAATTATGGGTAAATTACATAGAAACCCCTCAGGTTTGAGGGTTTATTACAATCTCATACAACATCTTTAAAACATTTCACTTTCATACCTCATGTATTATTTTATTTCAAAATAACACTTCCGTTAGATTTTCCATCCAATGGTCTATTAAATGCTGACGTGGCTGCCACATTTGTGTTGATGTGGCTGCCATGTGGCAAAAAATAATTTTTTTATACATTAACAATATTATAATATTAACTCTATTTAAAAATTAAAAATAAAAAAAAAACCCCAGAAAAACCCGAACCCAGTCCCCTTCCTTCCCCCTCACCTATATGTAAAAATCCCTTCCCCCAGAATAAGAAGAAACCAAACCCGTCCCCCGCCGCGACCCACCTGCTCTTCCCCCCGCGACGACGCAGCTGCTCCCCCCCCGCGACGACCCACCTGTTGCCCCCTACGACGACCCACTTGCTCTCCCCCCCCCCGGCGACGACGCACCTGCTCTCCCCTCCCCCTCGCGACGACGCACCTGCTATCCCCCCCCCCCTGGCGATGACCCACCGGCCTTCCTCTGCCCCGACGACCCACCTTCGACGATGAGCTCATGACCACCGCGGGCGACTGTTGCAGGTATTTGGGTTGTGGGTTGTGGTTTTCAGGTAGTGGGTTGCATGTATTTGGGTTGCAGGGGTTTCTAAGAAAATTAGTGAAAAAAAAACGGATAAATGATTAAAGGTGGGGGCTTTGAGGTGGGAGAGGTGGAAGGGGATATGGGTTTTGGGGAAGGAGACGCGTGGAGGCAGAGGGTGGCGGGAGAAGAGGCGGGAGAGGGGTGGAATTCGAAGTTCAAACCCTATAGAGGGAGAGGGAATGAGGGAATTGAAGAAAGGGTGACAGGAAGTGTGTTTGGGGTTGGTGTGGAGGAAGAAGAAGAGTGGGAGAGATGGGTAAGGGGTGGGGACGGACGGACGGGAAGGAAGAGATGGGTAAGGGGATCTGGGTTCAGGTTTTCTGGTTTTTTTTTTTTTTTTTGGTTAAATAGGCTTAATATTATAATATTGTTAATGTATAAAAAATTATTATTTTTGCCATGTGGTGGCCACATCAGCACAAATGTGGCAGCCACGTCAGCATTTAACAGACCATTGGATGGAAAATCTAACAGAGGTGTTGTTTTGAAATAAAATAGTACATGAGGTATGAAAGTGAAATGTTTTAAAGATGTTGTATGAGATTGTAATAGACCTTAAACCTGAAAGGTTTTTATGTAATTTACTCTAAAATTATTCAATTTGGAGATTATTTAATCATTCATATACATCAAACAAATTGATGATTCTTCATGAAAATGCTACTTCTTATCAAAATTGTCGATTGGTTTGACATACATGGGTGACTAAAAGATCTCCAAACTAAATGAATTTTTTTTTTGTAAATATAGTTTTTAGGTGATAATAAACAAAATGAACCGTTTTAATTATAATATTTGTACGGTGAATACACGGTAATTATAAGTGAAAAGACAAATAAATTTCTCCACAGAGGGAGGAATGATTTTAAGTTTGAAAGGATAAATAAGAAAAGAAAAGTAAGATTGTTACCATAATTTTGGATTGGATATTGAAAAGGGAATTGTTATTAGCACACCAAAAATTTCATTCTACACTCCTCACAAGTGTATTTTTTTTCTTCTAATTATAGAAAGTTTGGAGTGCCCAATGAGATTTTTGGAGTGCTAATAACAATTCCCTATTGAAAATATGATAATGAGGTTGAATTTGTTTTATATGTGATTTGAATATCATATTTGAGATAGAAAATTTTGCATAAACACCACTGTAAACTAAAGGAATTTCACTAAGAATTTATTAAACTAGAATTTGTTTTCAAGGAAGCGTAAGATATGTTCCACAAGCTTTAGTCTAATAAATTTTTAACCGCAAGTCATAAACTTGAAAAGAAAAGAAAGCTCACCTAAGATGCAGATAATATGTTTTAACAAAACTGTTACCACCAAGTTCATGTTTTCTGGTAAATGTACCATTCACACTAAATGGAGGTAAAATCGGCAAAAATATATATATATATATATATATATATATATATATATTTACACACACACACACACACACACACATACAAAACTTGTTTTTCTTGTAATTAACTATAAATAACTTTTCTATGGTTTAAAGTTTAATTGAACTTCGTTTTTAACGAGATGCTTTAAGTACAGAAACGACGTATAATGTAGAACTTGATCCATGAACGGATCCAAAAGGTGTTCTTAGCAAAAGAAAGACCAAAGAAAACAAAGGCCGCCCAAACAAAAACAAGTAAATTATTTCAATCTCGAAAACTAAACATTAACAAAATTCTATATGATATACTGTGCCGGAACTAAAACTTAACCTCTACTTAATTAAGTTGAAAAGATGCCCCCATGGACTTTGACCTTGAAAACTGATATTTGTTTTGCCTTCAATAATAAGTTATGGATTGCCAGGTGAGACTTTAAAAATCTGTTCTCATTCGTTAGCCTTTGTACCTCGAACGAAATCCGCTCATTTGTTTTTCTCCTGATCTACTCAGCCCCAACATCTTTTCGTTCCACATATTTTCTTTCCCACCAACATTAGCATCAGATACTTCATAGAATTCTTCTCAGCGGCGGTATGACCTCTCGAGATTGTCCTCCAGAGCCCTAAACCCTAAGTCAATCAAGTATTTTGAGACAAAGTGTATAGGAGAGATCGAGTACTTAGAATTTGCCCTTTGAAGAGGGGACATGATGCCTTTATATAGAGCTCTATCCTGGATACCCCTTCTAGAACTAGGATACTTGGAACTTATCCCGGATGACTTTGCCTATTTAGGCCTACAACTTTTTTGGGGTAACTAAACCTCGTATCTTAGCAAATCTGAATTATCATAACCTTTTATGGACTAGGACTCCTTGACTGATCACAACGTAATTAGGAATGTTTTGTTTCTATCAATGGGGGAAGAAAAATGGAACTTGGGTCCTTCTTCAACATTGAAAAGATAAGCTATAACTGGTGTGAGTAGTACACCACGTAAAGGTGTTACAATTACATTTCTTCTCACAAAACAAAACAGACAGGTAAAACAATATTCCAGCCCTCTAAGCTCTAAATCAAAACATTAACATATTCTTTATAAGGTGCCGAAATAAAAACTAATAATGTCATAATTTAGTCGAAAACATATGTATTATGAATACATATAAATAGATACATTTGAAAACTTAAACGCTAATTAATTAAGTTGAAAAATAGCCAATTAAGATCAAGTACCAGTGCATCCAGTGAGCCTTCCAAAGAAAGATGGCCCTTTGGACTTAGACCTTGAAAATTGAGGCTTGTTTTGGCTTGTAGTTATATGATCAGTAGTATCCTCATGGCATATCAGACGATTCCTCAAATTTTTGTTCTCATCTGTTAGCCTAAGCACCTGAGACAAAAGCCTTTCAATCGTTTCACTTTTCTCCTTGTTTCTCCTTATCAACTCAGCCTGCTGCTGCATATTTCCTTCGATGAGTTCTGAAATCTTTTCGTCCCACATTTTCACTTTTTCATCCACATTAATATCAGATTCTACGCCATGAACAATGTTCTCTTTTTCCATATATTCTTCGTAGGATTTTTGGTCTGTCTCAACCTGTGTCTTCAGAGACTTGTCTTTCAAGTAACTTGAGATTTCCTTCTCACACTTTTGCATGGTTTGGACTTTTAGGGAATCTAAAGAAGAAAATGATCTCAGATGAGAGGCTTGAATCAGTTCGGATCGAAGCTGATCATACTTCTCGGCGAGCGATCGGTACGACTTGTAGAAGTCTTCTAACAAGTTTATGAGCTTAGGTTTCCTTTTGAAGAACATCTCAACCCTCTTTGCAAATGAATCTCCGTCTACTTCTATTATATTTAGCATGAGATTGGTCTTTTCGTTCAACTCTGCAACAATAATACCATATCTTGGGTTAAAAGGTTGGAAATGAATAATTCAACCCATGTGTACTACTTTTCTTTCTATATATTTTTTTTTGTGATCCCATGAGATGGTATTAATCCTGATACTAAGACCATAACTACGGACCTCTATCACTCTAAATCCATATCAGTAGGGATTCAAACTGAGAATAATTTTGTGTTGAAAAAGAGTGCCAAAAGATACAAAACATGGATTCAAATAAAATTTCTGATCACGAAATAGTGTAGAATGAATATCGACAATAAAAACTGGTATTATGAGGCGTGTGAGAAATTAGGAAAATGTTGTTAGCAGCCTAAACAAGTCACCAAGCACTTTTCTCTATTAATTTTTATATTAAAATTAGTGCACGATGACTATTTTATTTTAACAGTTCTCTAAACTCTAAACCCTAATCCAAAGACGGAAGATCAATCAATATATATGTGTGTGTGTGTGTGTAGATACACCATGCAGAAACTGGTGTATTTAACTGGGTGCTCATACTCAAAACCCTAGATCAGGAAGAAGAAAAGGAGTCGTATTACTAAACCTGAGAGAGTAGCTTCAAGCCACTGAGATTGATTGGGACAATTATGGCTGTCCCACCACCATGAAAAGGAGGCAGCCTGGTCTTCCTGCCTCTTCACCATCTCTCCTGAAATCGAACCCATCGTCTTCTCCACCTATATGCTTGCTCTACAGAGCTATCAAACCAAAAACCATCCTCCCTCTTTGAATTTATATTGACTTATAACACTCTTTGTCAATATCCTCCTGATTTTATGGACTTAAAAAATAAAATATTTTCGAGAATGTGACGCGTCTTAACTCTTAATTGAGTTTTAAGTGTGAAATTGTATGATTTTGACATCTACAATTTTCAAGAAATTGCATTTTTATTTCTGAAAAGCTCTTTTATTTTTTAGTTGAAGTTAAAATTACGTATTTGGTTTAGTGTGATATTATCAAAACCGTACATTCAAAATAATTATTGAATCAAAGGTTCTTTATTTAACGATATATTTTTTTTTATTATTATTTTGACAATAGCATATTATTATGTCACTTAAATTCGATAATTTGTAAATTAATTTGGAATGATTATTGTGAAATTGACCGAAATTGAGAAGTCTCAAGAAGTCATGTTATTTTGGGAAGTCAATCGACTTAAATGTGGATCCCTTAAATTGTCTCTGAGAATTTATTATGTTTAAGATGCAGATCGTTGAGAATATAAAAAGATCAAGCCAAATAAAGAGACTCTACCTCAAGAAACATCCTTCATAGGGTATCCTAGTATATGTGGGTTGAGCTAATTGACTAGGACAGTGCATTCGTCTTTTATATCCAAATTCGACCCTTTTCCCAATCCCCTTGTTTTTTCCGTCTATTATAAGTAGTATTACTATGTTCGTTTATTATGAAAAGTAATATTACTAAGTTAAACATTGAGTTAGATAAGAAAACTATAATCACCAGGTCAATTCATCACTTGCTGTTCAACCGTCTTTAAACAAGTTGAAGTAGTTTAAAAAATATAACCTTGTCAAAAATGGAGTTTGGACCATTCTCAAATAATGATGCTGTAAGGTTTAGGCAATCATCGCTATTTGCTAAATAAGCAAAGTTCACGTCCACATACCCTTTACAACCATGCAGAAGTTCTGCGAGTGCTAAAAATGGTAATTTCATTGAATTCTTGACTACTACTCGAAGTACCCTCATAAGCTTTTAGGCATCAGCATCACTCTAACATAAAAAGCAACTCTGAATTCCCGAAGGACCTTCCTGCCTAAAGAAAACTCAAGTAGTCCTCCTTAAGTTTAGCGGATTTTCATATGTAAGGGTTCAGAAACGTTACGTGAGGAGAGAGATAGAAAATGAGATTTACATGTTAAAACAAAGTAAACAGCGATCCAGGCTGAAATCTTATGCAACATAATTCGTGTGTATGAAAATCCGTATAGTCGCTTATTCTTGATGTTTTCTTTCTTTGAAAACCAAGTTAATTAGGTGTCGATGCAAATTCAATAGCTAAATCATTAGTTAGCTGTGATTAGGGTGAAGGATTAACTGTAATCAGGCACCTTCACAACCAGCCCAACCATTTTTCCCACCTGCTGACTACCAAATATCCAAATGCTGCTTCGACTGACCAATTTCTCCCTTTGCCAGACTTGCTCTTTCGCACCCCAGATAGAGTTTTGTATCCCCACCACCCCAAACCACCACCTTTCCCTTCATACCCTCACCATCCGTTTCCGAAATCTACCTCCTAGCAGAGCCATATTGGTCCATCACTAGGTTTCAATCTCTTATTTTACGTTTTGGGTCTCGAAAACTTGCCTTTTACCATCCTCGTCCGCGAAGTGACCACGTCTGGCAACCTTCTCTTACTTAATCGGGAACAAAATGTGACAGGGAGGCACCTCAACACCCAACCAGAACTACCAAGCCCGAACTGAGCCACCAAAGCTCGAGCAAGAGTTTACCACCTCATTCCTCTTCTCACAATGAAACCGACCATGAAAGCGAAACCTCGGCAATTTGAGGTGCAACTGCCAATTAATGGGTGGAAAGCATGAATCACAGAATCAAAACGAGGCCAAGCAGTGTCAGGTCTAGGGTTTTGCTGCTCTCAGCATAATCTAAGGTTTTCATCCCGACTCCAATGCGATTCTTGATTCTATGTCAATCAGTTTTAGTTATCGGAAGGGTTAGGGTGGTGATTGTTTATGGTTTAATGGCAAAATCCTGCTCATTTGCCCTCCGATAAAGCAAAGCTGATGCTTCCACCCTGGTTAATTAGGACAAGGAAACCCATGTCAAATCCCTACATACAAAGAAATTAACGATGACAAAGATAACAAATATGAGCAAACAAGATATAATTTCTCACCAGCCAGGATGGACAACAAATTTTCCCAAAGAAATAGCCCAATTCACCTGCTCAAATAATTAATGTCACGCCTCAACCCAAAAGAACGTAGCAGAAAAGGAAGCTGAGAAAAACACTGAAATAAGATTTCTATAAGTTTTTATTTTTATATTTTAAAGGATTTTCTGGAAGAGGCGTCGGAGTTTTGGGTTATTCTCTCTTTCTTTCTTTTCCGGGAATCAAGAGAAGCTGGGAAAGCCCGAAAATCATATATCAAGTCTTAGTAATTGGTTCTCATGGCAGAGATTATGTGAGAAACAATACCTTGTCAGTTCCAAGGGAATTGGCAACTACATGGGTGACCTGGTCATCTATATGGTTGGTACACACAGCACCAAACTGTTCAGCTGTCTGCCACAGCGGATGTAGGTGAGGATTGACCTCACCAACTGGAAACACCCTGCTAAATACTATACGACAACCGTTCAAAATCTTCCGCTGCTCAGAGGCTAGAATATTTCTAACATCTGCTTCATCTAGGGAGGGATGGGAGAAAAAGATCTGATGTATCTTCTCAATAACCTATACAGACAAAACAACAGATAATTGATTACTCTCAATGAACCAGAGAAGCAGGTGAACAGATATGAACAGCATCCTCACCGACAATGAGGATGCCAAAGTCCCATCTTCTTGTCTCTCGTCATGATCAATCTCGAGTAGAGAAGGACCTAGAAGCCCAAATTGTCGTCTGCTACAAGGAAAGTACGTATAACTGCAAAAGTACTTATACATAAGCATTGGGTAACAAGGCAAGCAAGCCCATCAAAGTACCAAGGATTATTATATCTTAAATCAAAGCATATAGTTACCGTTCCACAACTATCAAGTTCAGTTTGTTATGCGGCCAGACCCTCACAGAATCATCTATAATCACAACAGCTGATTCCATACCCAAAACTCCTTCCAGATCCTTACTCTTGGGAGCATCACCATCATCAGAATCTCCATCGTCACCTCTAGAAATGACTCGTCCAGCAAAAAGTACCCCTGTTGGATCTAGCACTTTTGCCATTTCCGTAGCATATAGCTTGTTCCCCATTGTGTAAAGATGCAACTCAAAAAGTTGACTAGCCTGATGAGGCAATGCAATGAATTCTCCACTTTCAGATGAGCCATAAAATGAGATTTTTTTCCAAAAATTTGCATGGCTAAAAATACAATAATTATACCCTTAAAATAGAAAAATTTACCTTAGCATCTAGATCCAAGAAAATTCCAAATCTCTCCAGGCCCGCAATTTGGCTCACATTTCTTCCTATGTGGATGAAATTCAAAAGGACCAGTAGCTATTGATCTATTCTCTCTGGAACTTGGGAAGGAACATTGAGAAACAGACATTCATATCAGACATCATATCAGATTCTTCTTTGTGAATTGGCGAGCAATGTCAGGGGCCTCTACTGATTGAGAAGTGACTAGCTTCATATCTGACTGACCATCTTGCTTTTCGCCAGTAAGATTATCCTTATTCCCCTGGCTGCTCGGCAGTGGGGTTACAATATTTCTGAACTGCTCTTGTCCCAAACTCCTACTCTTTTGAAGTGCATTACCATGGAGAATACGGCGAGGGTCGCGGGGTTTCATACAGACTTTCCCTGACTCATCCTGCAAAATTTGCAGCGCAAAGAGTTTTTATAACTCGTAATAGGAGTTATGAATCCAAAATAGTAAAAAAGGTAATCAACCAACCCCCTAAAAATAGAAAATAAAAAACAGAAGATAAAAAATAAAACTAAATCAATAATTAGGAAAACTGAAATATATCAGAGAGATCCTACAGAATAGGAAAAATGCAAAAGAACACATGCTTAGCCCATTCTAAAACAACAGTTAGGAAAAAGGACACAAGCACTCACCATCAGAGCTTTTTGTGAACTAACAGGAAGTGTCTGCAACATTGCTGTGGTCTTTGAAGGAACATTCACTGATGCATCTGACCCTGGTATTGAATTTGAGCTTATAGGATGTGTCATACTTTTTTCAGGATAAGCAGACTTCGGCTGGGCTTCTGCAGCTAACCTTTGCTGCTGTCCCAGCTTAAGTATGTTTAACAGCATGGTTGGATTCACAGCCTTTAATAATGCAGGCAAGGAAGCCGTGCTTAAATCCGTCAATGACACATGCTCATTTGAACTGTTTGGGCCATTTGAGTTTCCATCAACAGTACTAGGACTACTTACAACATTAACCACTTTTCTGGGATCAGACTGTGTGTTCTCCACTGTCTGATTATTGCTAATTAAATGAGGTCCCAACGCCACCAATGTCCTCCAACCAGCCACAACTTCCAGAAGCGGTTTTTGGATCTTTAACAAAACCCGAGTTTCCCAATGTATTCCTTTGCCTCTTTAATGCAGGACCATCTAATTTTGAATCCTCAAGGGGTTTTTGCTTTCTCGAGCTTAATGTTATAACCGAATCTATTTTAGGTGCACTATGCACCGTCAAGGGTTGTGGGTTATGATTCAAGACACCCACATCAGAATTGGAAAACCGAAGCCTAGGATCTCTATTCCTAGTTGGAGCTTTTATGGTGATTTTAGACCCAGAACTCGCAGGGGCAGCACTTTTACCTGTAAATCGTTCTTGCATGCTGGAGCTACCCACAGGGATAGGGAAGGGAGAAACAACTTGCTGTCCCAAAATAGGAGGACCTGAAGTTCTCAAATTACTAGCAGAAGAAGAACTAGAAACCTCTCCCACAGTATCAGCATCCCCTTTATCACCATCTTCTGAAGGGGTTGGACTTGGAAGTCTTTCACTCATGAAAAAAGAGCTCCGGTTAATATGTTGATAAGTAGATACAGCTTTAAGGGCATCAGTATCATAAGGATGCAATCCAGAACCTTCTGCATTTGGCGCCCTAGAGGTATCAGGCTCTGGTTTTACCATCCTATCAGTAAAAACCAATGTGTTCTGAACAGGAAAACATGATGGGGATTCTCGTGTTGGGGAAGGAAGGCTATCTGCATCATGATCCTTGTGAGTGTCTAACAGGGGAAGCACAACCCGTCTACCCTTCAAACTAGACACTCCTGGTCTTGGAACTTCGGACAACATAATTGGATTGCTGTAGTTAGCTGAAGAAGTCGCATTTACAGCTGAAGCGTCAGAATTCTTATTATTAAACCCGATAACCTGTATCTCATCATCTTTAATGCCTGCTTTAGTTTGAAGAAAAACATCAGGGGAATCCACAAAGGATGTCAAGACCCCTATCTGGGAGAAATTAGAACCATGTCAATACTTTCTAAAACATCAACAATTATCCTTAAATGATTATACTAATACAGCAAAATGCGCACCTCTTTGATCTGCTCAGGGGTAAAAAGAGGAGGATCATTCTTCACAGAAGAAAGTAACCTGTTACCAAAAACAAAACAAAGAAAGTAACTACACTACCAACGGCATTAGAAACTACAAGAACGAGAAAAGAGCATCGAACTCATAAGAACCTTGATATAATATCTTTGTTCTGTTCCTTTTGGACTGGTCTCATGGAGCAGAACACCTGCAACAAACAGCAATCAAACCTCTACAACTTCAATAACCAGAATCTGGAAATATCAGGACAAAAAAACATCAATGTGCGCAATTCTTAGGTGGCTTACAGAGCTGATAGCTTGTACCGCAGTGAAGGACAGATGAACAAGAGCTTCCTTTGTGGAAACATTAGTTTCCGAAAGCACCCCACGCAAGCTCACCAAAGTGTTGAGTAACTGGAGACAAACATCCACAAATGATCTACAAAACATAAACCAAACTGTAAGAAAACATTGTTTAACAGTAACAAAGCAAAGTACTCAAGCTGGGGCAATCATCATTTCACTCCCACAATTCACCCAAAGACCCGAAATTCGACATCAATCAGTTCACTTACTTCTCTGCTTCATTTCTAGTAACACTTGCCAAAGCTTTCCGAATCAAGCTCACTCGCTTCTCCAGCTCCTCATTCTTCAAGCCTGTCTCTGGATTATCAAGGTTCATATTATCACAATCCAAAACACCATCTCCAGCTTCGTCAGCCACACCCGCGGCGGCCTTTTCGTCAGCAGAAGCCTCCGAATCCAAATCAATCTCACCCTCCTCCAACTCCCCTTCCTCCTTCTCAGCATCCATTTCATCGCCACTGTCAACAATCACCACTCCATCCACTTCCTTCGCATTGCTCCTTTCAGGCGAATTCACCGACGGCGACGATGACGATCGCTTCAATTTCTCGTCGGGATCAACATTCATCTGCAGAAACTGATTGAGTGGCTTCTGATTGAGCGGCTTATTCTGTACGGCCTGAGCCCAAGCGAGGCTAACCAAGCCGGACCTGTACCCCCGAAGTCCCGGGTGGTTGTACATGTCGCGCATCGTCCAAACCCTGGCATCATCTCCGCCGTTGGATTTAGATTGATCCTTGGGCGGCGGCGGCGGAACCACCACCTTAACTTCCTGCTGCTTCTCCTGCTTGACAAAATCTTCCTCACTGATCTCCTCCACTGAATTCGAATCGGAAATTTCACCTTCTTCTACATCCTCCACCACTTTCGCACTTTCATCATCTTTCCCCATCACACCACCCTCTAGGGTTTCCTCGAAATTGTTCCACCCAAATCCACCAGCGACCATAAATCGCTGTAAAAAATTATCCAAATTTTACCACCACCAAAACAAATTCCAGAGAGTAAGTATTCTTACACAAAATTGAATTCTTAGGGTTTAATTTTTCCTCTTTTTATATTTTTTTCCCAGATATCTGGAAATTAGCACGGTAAATTACGATCGGATTAAAGAAACGAAAAGAAGAAGACGAAGAATTTGAATATTTCGTAGAAATTTCTGGGTTTTCAGATCTGTATGGCAGAGTTTTGAGATCGCGATCTTTGGGATTTTACTTGCGCTTTCGGATCGGGGAGGAGAAAAAAAATGCAGAAAAATAAGAGAAAGAGACGATGAGAGGGTAAAGACCGGGGAGAGAGTTTATAATAAGGACAAGGGAATCTAGTACACGCAATGAGTTTGAATCTGGGCCGTACACGTCATTAATCCGGAAAAGCTAGGTGATCCTGGTTAGGTTTTAAATGACAAAAGCAAGTTTGCTCCATTACTAGTTGTGGGAGTTTGTTTTTATTGACCAGTGGGTTCTGACTGGATGGCCCCTCCCACACACTTTCTTTTTCTTTTCTCCCTTTTTGCCGGACTTGGATTTCTGCCCTCTTAGTTATGGTGCCTTCCATGCCCTCCTATTTTGTGCGGTCACGGTTAAGCCACATCAATATTTTATATTAATTTTTTAATAAGATAATAAGACAAAAAATAATAAAAATATAAAATATTAACGTGGCTTAACCGTGACCGCACAAAATATGAGGGCATGGAAGGGCACCACAACTAGGAGGGCAGACAACCCAAGTCCCTTTTTGCCCTCACCTCATGTCTAAGAAAGTACTTTTTCAAACTGTTTATTTCGTATTTGAGCTTTTGTTGAAGGGGTTGTTGATGCACAAAATCAATGAGGATTTTAGTATAACAGAAAGTATTAAGTTTGTGACCTTGCTAGATTGCTCCGGTCATTAGTGTGGATAAGTATGTAAATGGATAGAGACAGAGAAGCAAACACAAGATGTCCATGGTTCACCCAGATTGGCTACGTCTACAGAGTAGAGGAGTTCTCATTAATTGTGAAGGATTTACACAAATACATAAGTTCAAGCTATCCTTTAGTGAGTACTAGTGAATGATTTAGTACAAATGACATTAGGAAATATTGTGAGAGAATGATCTCTATTTATAGAAGAGAGTTTCTAGTTTCATTCTGACATTGACACGTGTCGTGTTGTAATTGGCTTCTGATGTTGACACGTGTCGCACTATGATTTGCTTATGATGTCGACACGTGTCGCGCTGTGATTGGCCTTCTGGTTGGAGGGAAGCTCTTCTGGGTCCTTGACGATATAACGTTGACAGGTGCTCAGTAATTTCGGGATTGGTCAAGTATGGTACAAACAGGGGTCATGGCCAAATTAGACAAATGCCCAGTTCTGGTTTTGATTTCTGATTGATAAATTACACGATGATGGTTGAGGAAATTTAAAATGCTTCTATGAGTTTTTTTTTTTTTTGTTTTAAAAAAAAAAAAAAAAAAACCCATTTAGACAAAATCACCGGCTGATTTTTTTTTTTTTAATCTATATAAATGATCCCTTTCGTAATTGGTGCCCCAAGAGCCAAGGAACTGTCTACCCCATTTCGAGATACAAAGCAAACGATCCCTATCACCGCCTGTTTCTCTCCAATTATACTTACTTAAATGGGAACAACACTTCTCGAAAGCTACCTCATGGGGGATATTGGATTAGTCCATTTCAGGGCTACATGTGTAGATGCAAATTTCTACATTCTTCTCATTTTACGAAAATGCATTTGCAAAATAATAACATCTAAGCTTTGGCCGAAAAATCTCTAATGCCGAAGTTATAATTTTAAAGAGAAAATGTTTAGGGGATTTTTGGGAGAGATTGAACATGGCTTTTTGGTGAAGAAATGAGACTATATATAAAAGTGTGGCCGGCCCTATTTGGAGAATATGGATCGGCCACTTATGGTGGTATTTTGAATATAATTGCTAGATATTACGTAAAATAATATCTTACAATTAATTTGGTAATTAATCCTAAATTGAATATGACACTTAGGAATTACCTTTTGAGTAAGGATTTGATGAGGAATGATGAGAGGAATTTGAATAAATATCGTCTTTGACTCTTTCTTGATTGAGTCTTTATTGTCTATTGCATGCGCGTGTAAATCTTGGTGTGTTTCAAGGGTAATTTTGTTATTTTAACTCAAAAGTTCACATGTTACATCCATAATTTTTTTAAGAATTATTTTTTACTCCACAACATGCACATTGAAAGTTGAAAACTCCAAACATATATGTTGTGGTGATCAGGATTCACAAACCCTGGTGGAGAAAACAGAGGAAGAAAATGGTTTCTAAGGTAGCATTTCATGTTGCATTGGGGAACTGGGTCTTCATTTTTTGGAAAATTGGGGAATTGGGTTTTGTTTTTGGGGTGATTTGGGAAATTTACGTTTTCTAAAGTAGCGTAAGATTCGTTGTCGGGTGAGGGTCTGGTTCACAGTTAGAATGGTTGGGGTGGGGATTTGGCAATTGGATTTTATTTTCTAGCCTGAAATGATGCAATTAACACTTTATTATTTATGGGTGTGGCTCTGTTTTCTTGTGTTTTTGGTGGTTAATCTTGGTTAGGAAGAAGGGGAGCTCAGCAAACAGATGAACAAAAAACAGAGCAAAGTTGCTGCTGCAGAGAAAGAGGTCCAATTCCAAACAGATGGGGTTCGTGTGAAAGCAAGAAGGGGTCGAGCAATTGATAGTCACATCACAGCCTTGCTGAAAGGGTATTTTATTCACAAGTTATTTCTGTTTTGTTTTGACTTTGAACGATATTCTAATTTAATCTAAATTGCTGGGAACGTTATTCTAATCTAGTCAAATTGACTACACCAAGGTGCGACTCTCCTATATTTTTCACGAATTAACTTGAAATTTGTTCCTGGTTGTGATCAGGTACTGATTTATATTTAAGTTATTGGTTAATGTTGATTGTTTTGTGTATGATTTTCTCGTAGAAACTTTACTCGTTGTGAGTTAAAATCTTCATTGTCTATGCATGATAATTGTAGATTACTGGGAAGGCTCGGATACTGGACGAGATCATCACATACGTCCAGTTACTGAAGAATCAAGTCGAGGTAATGAATTACTATTTACTTCCACCTTTAATTCAAAAAGAAAGATCCAGGATAAACTGGTTTAACTCTCGGTAATTTGGATTAGATTAGTTAGAATATCGCTCGAATCACGAAGACAGTTTCGGTCTTGTGTTTTCTTAATTTGTTACTAATAACACTGACACAAACCATTTTGTTGCTCAGTGCCTTGCGGCGCAGCTTGCTCAATTTCCGTCCGCGCTAGAGCCTAGCTCTATCCAGTTCCCATTAATCTTTCAGGTAGTGACACTTTATTTGATCATGAAATTAAATTAGGTTTGAAATCCGTTGTTGGTGTGGAAGCTAGACTTGTGGTAAGGGAGAGGTTGAAATGCTTCTGTGAGTCTTCCTGGCCTCTGGAAATGGTGAATAACTATAAGTTGCCACCAGTTGTCCCATTTTTTTAAGAAAAGAGAAAAACATATAAATTGCTACACATCTCTGTTCCGATTCAAAGTGATATCGAATGGATTCGATGAACATTTTCAGGATGGTGGAAGCTTTGTTACTTGGAGGATGCTGGATTAGTCAACTCCTGCACCTTCTAAGCTTGTTAAAAGTTAGAATAAGGTCTTCTATGAAATCAATTAAGTTCTCAAATGAACCGAAGATTTAAAATTTAAACGAACCAAAGATTTTAAAAAAGCTAAAATATATTTGACGCCCACCGTGGGGCTCGAACCCACGACCACAAGGTTAAGAGCCTTGCGCTCTACCAACTGAGCTAGACGGGCTTGTTGACGTTGTCAAGAACAAACCATTTATTAAGCACGCATATAAGTTATACATCAGAATTAAAGACTAGGTAAAAAGATACCACCACTTCCACAGATTTATCATAACCAAAAATCAGTAAAGAATACATAGTCTCATTTATGGACCTGGCTTCTCTACCCTCCCAGTTCTCATCCCCTTCTATTTTTGCTGTTACGGTTAAGTCACGTCAATATTTTATATCACTATTGTTTTTTGTCTTATTATCTCTATAAAAAAATCAATATAAAATGTTAACGTAACTTAACCGTGACCGTACAAAATAGGAGGAAATGAGAGTGTATGAGAACTGGAAGGACAGAGAAGCCGGATCCCTCATTTATACATCTGTCCTAAAACAAAATGACGAGATAGATACACTTTCATGTTTTGAACAAATAATAAAAAATAAACTTATTGATTCATCATTCACATCAACTCTCTCGTCTCTTTGTTATGCAATTGCATGCATGAAAGTTTTATTTGGGCAACGAGAAGTTGCTGAAGTCAAAATCCATATCATCCATTCCAACCTTCCAAGATTCATCGATTGGATAACCAAAGTCATAAGAGGATCCGTGATTATCACTTTCAAACAACGATGACAACGACGTCAATGTGGACGAATTATGATCATCCAAATTACGAAAAATCATCTCATTTGCAGCTTCCACGTTAGTGATAACGTTGTAGTTCGCATTTATTGTTTGATAATCTTCCATAGCGACATTGTTGTTCTCATGCACCGATATTTGATGATGTTCTTCAACCGGAGCCACTACCACATCAACATTGTTGTTACTGCACACAGTTGTTTGATGATCTTGTTCAGTTATTTGGACACCTTCTAGATTATTATTACTACGACTTTCATTCATAACATCCACGTTGACCGCGAAGTTCTCTGTTGTTTGATGATTATATTTCAACACTCGCGGTACAACAGATGATTCGACCTCAAAATCCTGCAAAGGATCATAAGGTAATCGTGAGGGCAACCGGATGGTGTTATGCGTGGTTGGATGAGAAGAGGGTCTCACAGCGTCTCTCCTAGCTCGGATAAGCTGCAAAAATATTAAACCAACAAGCAATTAATTCAATGAATTACGGAAATATGGTTGTACATATTGTAAGAATGTACCGGAATCACTCACGTAGGATCCAAGCTGATCATCTTTAAACAACATAACGGTATCCCCAGCGCTCAAGCCATGCCCCTGTATTAAGCTCCCTGAAAAAATTGATATCAGAATATCCTCAAAACTAATATAGTCATTATATATAACTATGATGATATTTCTCTATTTGTAAGTGGAATGTTTTAAATTCGACTCATGTAGATAACAAGTGCAATACTGTACTATGATTTGTTCATTATATTAGAAAGAAAAAAGAAAAAAACACTGCAGACCAC